CGGTGGAATGGAGATTTCGACAGTGATCCATCAATTGAAGATTCGGAATATGATCGATCGAATGGGGATTCCGGTAGTGATCGATCAATTGGGAGTTTCGAAGATGATAGATGGAGTGGAGATTCCAGCAGCGATCAATCGAGAGTAGATTTAAGCGGTGCGCGGTCGAATGGAGATCCTAACAGTGATCGATCGAATGGAGATTCTGAAGGAGATCGACCGAAAGGAGATTACAACAGCAGCGAAGCCTCCGAGGATGTAGAGGTTGCAACCTACGGCGAAGCAAGTTCCGACGGAGGTAATTCGAAGGTGACCGGTGGAGAAGCAAGTGGGGGCTTGACTCGAAGTAGCCGCCGGAAAAGAGATTTAAATGCAGATGCATTTGATTATGCATCGAATCCAGAAGACATGATAAAGTTGGCTCTAGAAGCAGCTCGCACACCAAGCATACCTAAGAACTTCCAAGAGCTGAAGGCTGGGGAGCAGAACATGGACATGGACGCTATAAAAGAAGCGGCTCTTGCCGCAGCTCGTGCAGCAGGTCCCCAGGTCCCAGGTCCCGAGGAGCAGTCCCTTTTCAGCCCCAGCGACGCGACGGCCGACCTAACGGCCGCAAAGTCACTATTATTACAGACACCAATCCTACTCGCGGACAAAGTTTCAACATTGACAGGAGGAGGAGGAGCCAAGGTAGAGCTGACAGTCTTTGACAAACTCTTGGAGGCCCTCGGGGAGACAGGGGTCGGAGGAATCCCCGAAACGGAGTCTTTGTTGGATCTGAAGGCCACAGTAGCGCAAAATCTTGTCGAGGATGTTGCAGGAAAGCCTGTGGATAGCCTCCTGGGAAGTTACACTTTCCCGAACACTATTATCAAGCAGCTCATTGAGGACGCTTATGCAAAGGCCCAAGCGGTTTACACTAACACACTCTGTCAGATTTCAAACACGTGTCTACCAACCCCTATTACCCTAACGTCAGTGGCCGTGATATTAGGCGACAAACCTTGTTGTTCATGATCGTCGGCAGGACCACCACAAGACAACGGATTCACGCTCTGCCGTTGACAGCAAGAGCGCCGTATTTACTAGAGTACCTGTGTACGGGAGAGCATTGCCATCGCCGTGCCGCTCTCTGATTGGTTCACCAGTTTTAGGCTATCATGAAGCTCCGAAGTTGGCCCGATGTAAACAAACCCGACTCAGGAACACGTATTATCGGCTGAGAAATGAGGGATGATCACACTCGAGGGTTAATTTTCGGCAGAAATATCCATCAAAGTTCCATCCGAACTCAATTCAGAAGTTTATTCTAAAAAATTTCTATCACATCCAAAATCATGTCTAGAACTTTGTCGTCATCTTGTTTGTTGATATTGGGCCAAACTAGGAGCGGAGGGGCTGGGTTTTTTTTTTTACATTGGGCCAACTTTGGGACTCCATGATAGCCGACCAATCAGAGAGCGGCACACTTTTTCTGTAGTAAAAGGATTTGGATAGCAATACTCTCCCGTATACAGGTATACTCTAGTATTTACATTCCAGAACTAGCGATTTTTTCTTCTTTTTTTTCCATAGAAAAGTTTCAATTAGGTACGAGAAAACTTGATTTCTATCATGCTTCATTTTTGTCCGTGCATAACTCCAATAGTTTTGATTCAGTCATATTCGAGAAAAGTGTTAGTTGCTTTTCTTGCAGTGGAACACTTTGAAGAAGGAGGGGGAAACGATAAGTCCAAGATGGAGTCACAGCGCGATATTGCTTTGGATATGGTGTTAGTTCAAAAAAACGTATGCACCTTGATTGCAGAGTGTTTCCAAATTTACTGAGGGTGCTAATTAAAGAGGGCGATGGCGCCCCTTAATTTTAGGATTGATCATCTTCGGGGGCAAAGTGTTCCCAATTTTGGGGTATTTTCAAGATATTTTTATGAGCCGCCCCCGCACATTTTACCTCCTACCTACAACTTATGCTCTTATCAATTTCGAGTGAAATGGCGCCCTTGAAATTTACATGCTTGAGTATTGTAAAAAAAAAATTAAATGATGTATCAAAAAAAATCGATATCACTGTCTGAAAATTTTGAAAAATATTCTTTGAGATGCAAAGGAAAACCAGAGGAAGTTTCAAAGGAAGCTTTTGTACGTTTTAGAACTCCTGTTAACGCAATATTGACCAGAGATGTAATTTCATGAAGCGACACTCCAAAATTTTCACTGACTGTTATTATTTTGTAAAGAAAGAAAATAAAACAAATTTTTAAAAAACCATCAAAATTACACAGATATATGAGCTTTCCTCAATTCTTAGTTACCTACTTTCAACTATTATAATCAAGCTTGCTTATTTGGTTACTACAGTATAAAATCATGAAGTTTCTCAGACCATGATTAGATTACGATTTACATCGTCATTTTCTGATATCAGATAGCAAATGTTTTCAATATATAGTTTATCGACGCTGAAACTACCAAACCATCAGTGGCGAGGCGTGGACGATCGATTATCGATATTTCCCCATTTGAAGCTATGGTAAGGAATCGATTATTAGGGTGTTCGCTGCGAACACCCTAATAATCGATCCTTTTCCATAGATTTAAATGGTAGATCAATCGATAAATCGCAAAGCACGCCACGCCACTGCAGACCATGTAATCCCGTTTGCAGTGTTTAAAAATCTCTGCTCACATTTTTTTTTTTTTAAAGCAGACCAGATCGTTATCATCCTTTGAAATTTTCACCGAGTTTTCTCTGCACAAGGAGGAAAAACAACGGAGGGTTTCAAGAACTAGGAAGTCTGCTACGTCACAAACCAAGATACGTGGTCTGGTAGTTTCACAGTCGATATGCAAGTTCTGGGTTTTTTCGAATCAAATTCGATGAAAACCAATCAATAAAAGATTCAAATCCTTTTCAAAAACTTTTGACTTCTATCGGTTTGCGGCTAAGGCGAATGAACTGCGAATGTTCATACTTAGCATGTCGACACAATATGAGCCTTTTTTAAACATCATAGATGACGGAACGCTCTTCCAATTAACGTAAACAACATATAATAATGGAAGAGTATATGAAGTTGGGTTCGAGCCCAACATGCAACTATTTAAACTCTGCGACGAACCGGGTTGCATACCCTAGATATTGCGGGCGAAATCCGAGATCTACGCGCGCTCGCGATGCATGTACACACATACATTTCTCGCGATAGGGTACAGGTGCGATCAGCGTTAACTTCGAAACTTCGAGCGTATATGAAAACCGGTCTATCGTAGAGTTAAAGCTGTACGTAACCCAACTTCGTAAATATATTCTTCCATTTTTTTACGCTCAGTGCATTATTTATTCAAATGCTAAGTTCGTCTTTCGAAAAGCATCTCATTGTCAGCATGTTCATATCGCGTTACGAAGTATGACAAGAGCGTCCAAATAGGTGACCGAAAAAGACGCCACACTCGAAGAAAACACTTGAGTTCCACCTGTGCTCTGTCGCGAAAGCCGTTGGCAGATCTCAGATTTCGCCCGTAATTTCGGGCGTATGCAACCCGGCCCACCGCGGAGTTAAAATAGTTGCATGTTGGATTCGAACCCAACTTGGAATGTTCTTCATTCTTTTACGCTCTGCGCGTTATTCAAATGCCGAGTTTATCATTCGGAAAGGCATCTCAGTTGGTTTATATAGCTTCCTTTTGTTTGTAGTGTTTTTTCTCTGCTAACTGAGGAGCCAAGAAGAAGTTAAGGGATATGGATGATTCCGATTCCAAAGGGGGTAATGCAAAATGACGAGATGAATCTTAAACTGAAAGTCATGTTACTTAAATTAAGTTTTTGATTGGCAGGAAGACTTGTGGACTGGGCACTTGAGCCACTTTACTTAGATATGATGAACGCCTTTTCAATTTTTTCTGGATTGCATTTTTTCAAACTTTCTCGATTATTCTCATCAGGCATTCTCATTCGGCAACACAAATCCCCGGAGGTCGGGGGCGGAAGTCTACTTTAAAAATGAAACATAACAGAAACTTTCGTAACTTAGAAATTCACTTTTGATTTTTTATTTTATTATTTATTAAATATCCCACGAGGGATAAGCCTGCGCTTTACCGTCCGTAGAGCACCATCCCCCTCCGTCCCTAATCAAGCCAGCCCCAGGTAACCATTGTATGAGCCCATCAAACTCGGGTCACCTGGCCGGGAACTGAGCCCGGAACTTCCCGATCATAGAGCAAGCACTAGAACCACGACACCACAGGAGACCGACAATAGACTAGTTCAAGTAATGCTGTCCAGTTCACAAGCTAGAGCTGCACTGGGAAAAAAACACATTGGATCTAAAGTCCAGACTCTTAAAAACATCGACAAGAAAAAGTACTCTTGATTCAATCAGAATCTACCTTAAATCAAGAACCAAGCCTCTTAATTTAAGCGGATTTCGTTTTGATTCAAGCAAAAATCCAATTGAATCAAGAGTATTTTTTCTTGTCAATGTTTTCAAGAGTCTGGACTCTAGGCATGGACGAAGAGAATGAATTCCCAAGAGAATTCTCTTGGTCCATGCTCTAGGTCCAATGTGTTTTTTTGTCCAATGTGCGTCACTTAATGGGACAAGAGAGGCAGTCCTTTGGCTATTCACGGCGGACAGAGAATGAGCGGGATATCACAATAATTGCAATAACAAAAGCTGACAAACAAAATACAAGGTGTCTAGTTTTTTGGGGTTTTTTTTGGGTAATCCTGATTTTTCCTAATTTTGGGCTGCTAAATCCTGATTTTTTGTGGAGAAAAATTACAATTTCTGCAAAAGCGTATGCCAAAAAATAAAAAAAATCCGATCAGACGGCCGACTTTTCTCAAATCCTGATTTTACGACCGATTTTTCCTAAAATCCTGATAAAATCGGGATTAAAACCTGATTTACCTCAAATCCTGATTGAATCGGGAAAATCCTGATGGTCAACACCCTGCAACAGCTCAAAAAATCTTTATTTCTTCCCCTTTTTTTCAGAAAAATTACTGATTAAGGAGGAGCCGCTGGCATTGCAGGCAGCACCTCGAGGATCGGCATCGCTCCTGCAACCTCGATTTATCTTCATAGCACCAGACAGACCACAGATGTACAATCAGACCCCTTTCTCCCCCCAGGGCCAGGGCCAGGCCGAGCCTAGCGCAATAGTGCTCAGCCGAAATGGAATTAAACAGATAAAGCTTGGTGAAGCTACCGACAGAAACGAAATCCCTTTCCCTCCGCCTAGCTTCCGGGACTTCGTAGCACTGGATGCTCAGGACGACGCAATGCTCAATCAACGAGCCCCATCCATGAAGTATGCTTCGGAAGCCGGCACTGAGGAGGACTCCTTGGAGGGAATGGGTCGGCAGGGGCTCAATCCATTCTCGCTGTTGAGCAGTGTGCTTGGAGGAGGCGGCTCCAGAGAAAATAGAAGCGACAGAGACCAGAGACCCCGAGAGCAAGGCCTCCTTAATGGTCTCCTTACACTTCCTGAGATTTTCTTATCCATAACATAGAACTTTCAGGGCGGCTTGAGTTCTATTCATGTAGTTTTAACCTGATTGAAGATTAGATTTCAATTCTCAACAAATGTACTGTTTCACTTCATTTGACTTTATACCAACATACTTCAGTAATTGTAAGTAAATAATAACTGCTTTTCTTCTTTTGTTGCTTTTGACGATTAAAAACATGATTACTTAATTTGACTGGTTAGTCACTTGGACTGCGTCAAGCAAAAAGGAATCAAGCCACATCAATCATTGCCAGGTTTAATTGGGTAATTAGATTTTTTACATGAAAACAGTTGTGCGGATTTTTGTGCAAATTTCAGTGAATTTCCTGCATAATGCAAAGCCTATTCCTTAAAATTTTCAAAGGAATCCGCACAAACGTTCTCTAGTACAGAATTGAAATACCCAGTTAAATTTGGCAACAGCTGATAAAGCTTGGTTCCTTTCTGCTAAAAGCAATCCACTTAGAATTCTTTCGCGTACCTGATGGTTTGGAATACAAAATATCTAAGTGATATGTATACAAAATAGGAAGCATAAAGTTTATAGAACCTTCATTTCACAACTGCAAAATAATAAGACAGATGCCCAAGCCGGGTCAAATTGACCGGAGGCTTACTAAAAACACAGGGCGGGTTGTAACAGGCCGGTGCACGGTAGACAAAACCCCCGATTTGGCGTCAGAAAAGTCCAAAAGTGAATGTAGGGAAAATAAATTGAAATGTATGAAACTATGCAGTTCCACAAATGTGGATCTCAGATCAACCAAATTTTGTACCTAGTTCCTATTGTGAGATGATTAAAATGATGGGATCAGCCAAGCGTTGGACGCAGCAGCTCACACCGTAGAACATGAGGTATTTACATTTTGTGTGTTCTGTGCCTTCACAGGTAACTTTTTCTATATGAAATTTCTTTACGATGCCTGGACCTCCTAAAAGAAAGGGCACAAGTATTTTAAAGCCAATAGCTCTAGCCTTGTATAGCCAAATAATTTTATAAATTATAGTTCATCAATTGGTTAGATTTTCTACCAAGAAACCCTGGTGGATCAAGCATGCAGGAATCTTGGTAAGTAGGTACCAAACTGTTAGAGGTCGCGCATCGTTTGTTGAGACAGACGTCAAATTATTGTTTACATCTCTACTCATCGGAAGTGCCATCAAACTGCATGTATAACCTGCTAAGTGGTGCTAATTCAGAGCTAATCAGAGATTGATGTTTGTCTCAACATACGATGCGCAAGCCGCAAGCTCTACCTCTGACCACCTATAAGCAGTACAAAAGTCACCAATAAGGCCACTGCTGGGCATGACAATAGCATCTACGCATCAAATGAAGCTTGTAGTTGAGTGATCAAAGGTACGGAAAACTATTGAAAGAAAACCTCTAGACCATTATCAAAGGAAATACAGGAAACGCTCTAACCTCCAAGTGCCGACTGATTGATATTTAAGGTTATAGTTCACTGGTAAACTGATTTCCGGAACAGAGCTCCGGTACAAAGTTTTTCTCCTCCGAGATGAGGTATTGCAACAATGGGCAAGAATGATTATTTGCAATCTCCTGTAGGGAGTTTAGCCAGCCATGGGTTTAAAAGAAAAGAGACATGCTTCAGTGTGTGATCAGTTGAGAAAACATCGTTCCCCCTTGGAGACTCTATAGACTGTATCATATTAGTCCTGTAGCTTTGATATGGTTTCTCAGGGTTAAAAGTATTTTAATAAAAATTTACATACCTCAAATCCAGTAAGACATCTAATCAGTTGGTTCAAGTCCTTTTGATAGAGTGACTCAACTTTAGCCAGCGCCATCGACACATGGATTCAGCTCTAACATTGAAGATAAACAGTCGGGCAATTGCGTAAATTTTTCACTGAGTCAAATTTAATTCAAAATTCAGAAGGGAGAACCGTTGAATAATTTACGTGAATCAATTATTCATTGATCGAGAGCCAAAAACATGTTTGCTGATAACAACAACATAACAACAAACAACCTACCTTAGACGTTTGAATGAATGAACATTTGAAATGATAAAGGGAGGGAAGGGGAAGCAACAGGACGTTGTCAAATGTGAGTTTACGTAAAGTAAAGTTATGCTGCAATCCGATCCGTATATATCCAATCGTTTGTACATTTTCAAACTCAATGATATGCTTCAAAAGACATTTATCAAATGACTATCGCAGAAATTACAAACGGAAGTCTAATTATTATTATGAGCGTTCATGAGGCAACACTGTTGACCTGAATCTACCTTTCTGATTGGTTAATGGTTCCCGCCAGTTTTAGATGGTACCGTATGGTCAGGGTGGCATGAAACGTGAGAAAGAAATGAAAGATTGGAAATTTCAGGGAAATAATTCATGAAATTTCACGAGGCTATGAAATATTTCATATTCTTCAGGGGCTAGAGTATGCAACCCGCACTCCAACAAAAAAATAGAAAAAAGTCACAATTTTTACATTTTGCAAAACATGGAAAGGAACCGGTATTTTTCAATATCTTTCATAAATTTCTGATATTTCATTAAATATTTCACGTGAAATTTCGAGATTTTATTTTTCATGAAATTTTGCCACCCGGCATATGGCACTTAGGGGGAACGCAGGTGACATCGTGCGAGGTGAGGGGGGGGAGGCAAAAGTACGAAATTCAGTGTTAGGAATTTTATGGACCGCAAATAATAGACTTTGGGTACATACTCCTTATCTTGGTAGCGTTTTCATCGCTGATGCACACTTTTCGAACACAATCAGAGCTAAGGTTGAAATATTATGCAGAAAATTACCATCATCAAATACTTAAATAAAATAATAATTTAAAAAAAAAAAATGCATCAAAGAACAAGAGTAAGTATCCTACTTATTTCATACTAACTTAATTCGCAGTGACAGCAGATATTTTGCATGCTGATTCAACTTCTTTTTCTCTTGACAAAAAATATCGATGGCCTGAAAACGAAATCACATGGGTACCTGCGTTGAAAACTTGTTAACATGATATCTTAAAAATTTCCTTAATTTGTCTTCTCTTTTAGCAGAATATTCTGTAGAAGTTTCAAGATGTAAAGAGTAAGTATCCTACTTATTTCATACTAACTTAATTCGCAGTGACAGCAGATATTTTGCATGCTGATTCAACTTCTTTTTCTCTTGACAAAAAATATCGATGGCCTGAAAACGAAATCACATGGGTACCTGCGTTGAAAACTTGTTAACATGATATCTTAAAAATTTCCTTAATTTGTCTTCTCTTTTAGCAGAATATTCTGTAGAAGTTTCAAGATGTAAAGTTAGCGGGTTCTTCTTCCAAAAAATAAAATAGAGGCAGAAATTTTGAAACTTCATAAAGGAGTTGTGTCATTCCGCACTTTGGCCATTGATATGAGGCTTCAGCCTATGTGCAAGTACTCATACTGGTAGGAGTGTGAATTCATGTAGGAAATCTGATCAGAAAGGCAAGAAGAAAGGGCAATGGTAAGAATAAAAAATAACTCAGCTTAAAGATTAAGTCTAGCTTTATTAAGGTTCATTACGTGAAATAAAACATATTTGGTGCAGTAAAATGAAAACTGTCGAATTATTACCTAAAGTAAGAACAAAGACTTGCTACCATCCCAGCAGAAAACTCATCTGTTAAAAAATCTACTTACAGTAAAGGAAGGATGATAATCAATTGAAATAAGTGCAGAATTGAAAAAAGCTTATAAATATATAAATATGAAAAAATTAACATAGAAACATCATAAAAATATAACATAAGAGAAAACAATAACAACGAAAGGTTTTGTCAGAGAAGCTGGTGATTGTAACTTCTTGAGAGAATTGCAAACCGACCGGTTGGGTTAAGATCTAGATCGTATTATGTTGTACGCGCGGTAAGGGAGACAAACCTGCACAGAGGTCAATCTTTTTCCAGACACTGAACGTTAGAAAAACCAAAGGCAAACTGAATAATTAGGTATCAGGGTAATAGTTTTTTGATAATCAAACGCAATTGCTTCTAGGAAACACTACCAAAACCGAGGAAGACAAAATTCACAAAGGTAAATCAATGATCAAGGAGTTATGAAATAAATGATATCACTAATATAAATATAAGTTAAAAACTTCGCACAATTTCCTGATAAGATAAAATCAAACATTATGATTTCCAACTGCAATAGAAACTGAGGTACCTACAAAATGTTACAAGGTGTCCCACCTAGTAAGACAATAATCAAATTTGGCAAAGGGTCACACAGAAAAGTAACGTGGCAAAAGGGCTGTTTCATAGATTTAGCACCCTTCAAATATTGATAGGAATTGAACTGGCTTATTTTTCTTGCAAAAGAAAAAAGGTATTTCAGAGCAATGAAACGGGAGCAATCCTGCTAAACAAAGCAGTGAGAGCGAAAATAAATTTTTGAGAAAAAGGTCCAAAGAAAGCAGTGAGAGCGAAAATGAAGTTTTGAGAAAATGGGCTTAGTAGCGTCTGAGTGGAAAATTTTAATGGAAGAAACCTTCATACTTGGTAAAATTGGCACCAATCATTCAAAAGACTCTCAGAAATCGTTTGGATTGTTAAATTCGACGAATTTTACTTTGAACTAAATAAGGAGGGCTTTTTTCATTTTCATGTTGTGCAAAACAGTCGTAAGTGCTGGCCTCTGCGTTCTTTCTGGGTTGCATTTTGGACACAAAACATACAAACTTTGAGTTTAGAAATTGGCAGAAAAGAATACCATTTTTCTCAATCAGTACAGTTCTTTGGCAGAATAAGCCTCATTACTACTGTTTGGTGAGAAAACACGTCCTTTTTTGCGCACTGACTGCTTTCTCATGGGTCTCGTTTCCATACAAATAAGACAAGTTTTACTGTTTTAGCTAAATCAGGGATGAGTTCAACAAATTAAATTGGACGAATTTTGAGAAAAACTAGAGTTCGAAAATTTAAGCATTCTTTCTCTCTTCTGTAGCGGGGCAGAGTATTGACATCATATTCCACAATTCCAACAAGAAAGACTGGATGTATGAGGTATACTGGTAAGCAGTAATGCACAAGATTACGTTAGATATATTGCCAGCTAAGCAGCAACAGTAAGACAGAATTTTAATGCTAATATCATTAGCACACAAGTATCATAAAGTAGAGGCGCTCCACTGCCGAACATGAATTTACAAGTGACAAATTTAAAACCTCACAAATTGCGCCTTTTGTGTTATTGCTATAAAGAGTGACACCTCAGATACTAAATACAGCAATACAAATAAAAACTTGTAGCATTTGTTGCAGAAGTTAAAGGATAGGCATCAAAAAAATTTAAGGTCCTTGCTTTTGTTTTCTTCAAGCATCATAGACACATTAAAGGCGGAGGTATCACAGAAATAAAAGACACTAGAAAAGAGTGAAATTCTGATGTGCAGTTTTCACTGAAGTTTGGGTAACCAAGAAAATCTTTTAGTGAGAAATTTGTTATGATGATCATACGAACACAAGACACTAGAGTTCATTGTCCTTCAAGAATATATATTCTTATTTTTTTTCTTTTAAGCTCTAGGTACGAGTGTATGGACTACCTGCTTTGAAAAATACAAACAAACTTTTTATAAGAAATTAACACAGTCCTAACCTCATTACAGCGCATTCAAATGCGATGTTTTTTGACGAAAAAGTCTTACTTTCTGTGACGAAAAAAAAAATATGCAATGAAAATTTACTTCACTGATTAACAGGAGTAACAGTGCAGTACATTCACTGTTAAAAGAATGAACACGATTGAAAACAGCAGGCACAATCGGGTTTCGTTTCCTATCTTCAGTCTTCAGAAATAAATCAGCCTGTTTTCCGTATACATTGATAAATATTTAAGTTTTTTTCATTTTCCTGAAAAATCTGAGTTTGCAGGTATCTTGATATATATAAGAATAAATGCAGTCTTGAAGGAATCGTTTTAACTCTATAAGTGGAGTTACTTTAAAGTATAAAAATACTATTTGTAATTACATCTCATTGGAGGATTCTTACTTCAAAATTTTTCGGTTAAAAATAACTTTTCTTCCCTCATCATGGCCGAATAGATGAAATCCTGGTTTAAATTCTTCTATTGGTTAAAATAGATAGTAATGTTTTGAGTACATACATACTTGAAGTTGAAATATTGAAAAAAATACTTTTGGGTTAAAAACGCTACTTAGAATTGGGACTACCCGAGATAACTAACAAAATTATTAATCCCTCCAAAAGCCTATCTAGGTACCTTAACTTCTCAAGGTACAATACCATTAGATAAAGAAAACAATCCTGAAGAGGGTCTTTTCTGTAAAGGACAATTTCATGTAATTAGCATCTGTGGCAAGTAGGACAGAATGCTTTGCTGCAGAATCTTAAAGGGGAAATGAAACAAACTAATTGCATTGCAAAATACAAGACACCAAAGAAATACTGCTGGATAAGTGAGGAAATATAGGCAAGGTCTAAACAAGAAAAAACATCAGAGGTTTTCTCCTCAAAATCTTATATAGAAAACAATTCACGCAACCGAAAAATTAGGATCCAACTCTTGACAAGAGAAACCAACTCTTGAACAAGAATAAGTATTTTTAGCACAGATCAAATGGAAATTAGACTATACAAATTACGCTATTTGTATTTTTGCGATTAAAACAATATTAATTGGAAACACTAATACCTTGCTCAAGAGTTTATTTCGTACACCCCACTGTGTGATTCGTTTTCCTCGTAAACTTTTAAAGAGGAAATATGTTGCTTACTACTTTTATTCATACCTACTCCAGAGTTCTGGATATATAATAGGAAGATTCGTTCATGGTGATTGTTCCAGCAGCCAACTGCCCAAAAATTTCTTATGGAGACAAGGTTTGTTGCAACTGTCTTTTGCTTAAGTTTATTGAATGATAATTATTGAAAGAGAATATCACAGTTAAAAGTGATCTGCACCAAATTTTAAGACTCTTCAATTATTGATAAAGAAACGTCATCAAAAAGAGTGCTGGAAATTCACAGCGACTCCTCCTACACAATTAGAACACAAGTAAAATTTGACTAATCCTGATCGCTTTTTGAGTTAGGAGTTCCTGAAATTTAACATTTTACATTTTTATAAAAAATATGTAAATGAAAAAATAACAAAGGCACTTCAAATTTTACTGATAGAGTTGTAAATTATTCATTAACTTCACCGAAATGAAGAAATTAAAGGGGAAAAAATAAAAAATTCTTTTGGACGAAGAAACTTGTGATGCATTGAGCTAAAAATGTATGGGGAGAGAGAGAGAGAGAGAGAGAGAGAGGGTACAAACTTAAAAATTCTTGAAGGGTTAAAAGGCGCCCACAATACTGGAGAAAATAAGAATTTTTTGGGAGAACTTCCATATGACAAGGCTAATTCTATGCTGATAACTTGGAAAAATAAATTTCAGGATCAACTTCAGTCTTTAAATTGTAAATTACGAAAGTCTAAAATTATGTGTTACTCCTAATCTCCTTTTGTTTATATTTCATTAAACACTATCCTGGCAAAACTATTAATTCAAGAAATAAGGAAGAAATAAAAAATTACAATGATTCTGACAGTAAAAAAGTTAGACTTTGGAACTTTAGTACACATTTAACAAGTGTAAGTATATAATCTGCGAACTATGATAAAAGTAAGAGAACTCACAAAAGATGAGTTTTACTCTAGTAGAAAATTTGGCTTTTGGCAATGAGTAAATGGTTCTTTTCCAGTTGACACAATCAAACTTTATGAGTGCTATTGCATAAAACAGTGGGCAAAATTTAAAATTTACTTGAGTTCCAGAGTTAAACAACACAGGAGTATGACATTCTATACAGGACAAATTACAACATTTCCAATACCTAGATTGAAAAGGGGAAAAGCGGAAGGTTAATATAGACCAGCTTGTCAAAACCAGCAGAAAAAAATCGTCAGGGAGAAAGATTCTAGTTGCTCTTCCTTTTAAACTTATAATGGCGTGGATTATAGTCTGTTCTAGCAGCCAAATAAATATTTCAAAATTCAATTTTGTCAATTTGTGGACGAATACCTCACTTTTCTTATTAAAACTAGAATACCATAAGTAAGAGTTTTCGAAGAACTCTTCAAAGCACCTCCTATTCGTTTCTAAAAACTACTTTCTTCTTGGATATGCATAATTTGTTTTTTTTATTTTACACGATTTCCTAAAAAGTGAATTCGATGTTGTAATTGCTCATAAAATTTGAGATAGGTACCTTGGCTTTAGTTTATACTGATGGAAGAATTCTTACAAAAACTTTTTGGCCTACAACTTGGCACAAGGTTGAGAAATATTTATCCTACACTTCCTGGTCAATTTTCACAAAAAAATACAGCTAAAACGACCTTGATCTCCGATACTATAACAAAATAGATAGAAAATTTGAATTTTAGCACACTGCCTATCTACTTAAAGGAGTAGATTTATGTGTAAAAAATTATTCAGCAATGAAAAAATGCAATACAGAAACTTACAAAAAAGAAAGACATTGAGCTACAAAAATTGGTCAGCAAATATATCCTGTTAAACGCAGGGACAACTAATGCTTCAAAAGCTTTCTAATCCTTGCTTAATGACGCAATGAGACTGATGTATCAGGTGAGCAAACAGTGGATTCAGAGAACTTACATGTTGTTTGCACAAGGTACCCACAACGTTTTCGCTTGTTCCGAATCGACAGCTGATTTAATCTGAGTGCACATGTATGCAACATTTACTCCAGCAGGAATGACAGCTAAAATATAAAACACACAAAATTAATAATCCATTTGACAGAGAGCAAAGAGAGAGCTTTCGCATTGAAACACCTAAAAAATGTTATTTCTCTCTGTTTTCACAATGAATGAAATTCAAAGGTGTTCGGTTTAAACTTACAAGTGGATTACATTTTTCAATAAGGAACCACTATTTCTGGCCAATTTTAGAAACAACAGACATGCCATTAATTTCCCAATGTAGATGTGTGCTTTTATGGGAGAGCCAGATATAGTGGTTCCTTATTGCAAAATGTAATCCAAGTATGAAAGAGAGGCAGCCAAAAGAAAAGAGCTCTTAAATCAAGTTTTAATATCCACAACTGGAAGATAAGCAAATAATATTTAAACCTGCCCAAATCAAAATTTCTGAGAGTAATAAGTAATAACAAAGAGACTAGAGTATGAATATCTTGGTTACGAATTTTCTGTCATATTATACTTAATACAAACCAATTATCAATACTACATACTTAAAATTTTGTGTTATTTCCGAAAATCTTTCATACAATTTCAGGGACACCACTGCATATTTCCTTCAGAAAATAAAAACAGGTCAAAATTTTGGAACCCTCCAATCAAAATACAAGATTCTGATTCCATTTTCAGAGTAAATCTAGGTAATTTATCATTCCTAGGGAATGACTTTCATATGATTATGTAAGACGGTTAGAGATGGGTGCCAAAACATCATTGCAGCAGTAAACAATGGTTTTTGCAACTTGAGATTTTGAAGAAAAAGACTAATTTCTAAGATTAGAGATTGTGATGTAATAGCTAAATACACATTACCTGAAATGAAATGCTTGTATTCAACTTCAATTTTAAGCGCGTGTTCATACATTTCCTTAGCAGCTTTAGCACCAACTTTGTCCAGAGGGAATCGCGAGTCCTTAACTTCCCTTATTTGTTTCGGCGACTTAAATTTAATGAGTAGAACAATAGGATAAACTTGATGACGATGAAGTCGTTCTACACTTGTCAACCCGACGTCCAGCACACAATGACAATTCTGAGGAATCACCACAAGATGTTTTGAAATTACAAAATAAAAAGACTGACGCACGGATCACTTACCATCTCATTAAAGAATTAAAAAATATGTTACTCCAGAAATTACGAATCAGAAATCTTACATATGCTATGATTTTGGTACTTTTTTATTACTTGGTATATTTTTTCTTGGTATAAATTGATTTTTGGCTGCTTTGATATTTAAATTTAAAAAATTATTTTCAAGGCAGGAACAAATTTTGTTTTTGTGAATCCATTTTATTAAAAATAGTCCGATAAAAATACTTATAAGCCTATGAAAAATCAACATCCATTCAATGTAAACTTTAAAAATGCCCAGATTCATGTTGGTATGTTTATTGCAACAATAGCCAATTCAAACATTATAGGTAGCTTCTACTTGACCACACTATTGGTAAGAACGAACAGCATTCACTGGCTAAGGCACTATACTCCAAAATTTGAGCAAATCAATCGTACTGTCATATGACAATGGGCCAGTTGCACCAGCACCAGAATCATATTTTGATGGTTTAAGCACATAGATTAGCAAGATAAATAAGATCCTGGGTCCAACATTAATGGGGATTTCTCCTATCGGAAAACATGGCATACGACATCATCAACTGCAGTAGTGCGTACTGTGGTTTCTTCCACCTTGCTTTCATCCATGTTTTACGCTCGGCAAGAAGCCCAACTGTGTATATCGTTAATTGATGAAACCAAGGAGGGAGAAACGACAGTATGTGCTCCTATGGTATGTGGGTAGACGATATTACGTGCCGATTTTTTAATGAGCGATAACTCCTTTAATATTAGACGGAGAAACTTGGCGTTTAAACAGATCTTTTTCTTTTTTGCTAATCTATGAGCTTAGGCCATCAGAAAACGATTCTGTGACTAGCGCAACTACTTGAGAGCCTACTTGAAAGTGGCACTTTTATTCCATCTATTCTTTTTGCAGGTGCAAGCTTTTAAGTCTCATGGACAGGTTGTTTGTATATTTTGTGGACTACGGATAAATGAGTGCCAAAAATTTTCTGTGTCACAAAAATATTAGATTCTTTAAAAGATCTTTATACTTACTTTATCACAGGAATCCTTGACAGCTGCAGCTGTCACACACTCAAAATATGATCCTTTTTTGCGGTAGTCAATGAAAAGGTTGTCGTTTAAACCTTTCTCAATAGTTGACTGAGAGCAATGCATTATTTCTGGTACACAGCGTAGGAATTTATCGGGGAAATCTTGAATTAATTTCTCTATTACACAGTCTGACAGTGGTCCCACAATTATCACAGGCCTAAATACAGGTTCCGCTGAAAAACATTGAAATATTTCTTGATAATTTCAATTTCCGTCGAAATACAAGCTCAAGATTTTAAAATTCCTTGTCAAATGCTGAAAGAGTATGATAGCTCAAAAGTCTCAAATCTAAAAGCTAGAGAATAAAGTTGATGGATGACAAGAAAGAAGCACCCCAATACATATTACCATGTAAAGTTTTTACGAACATCAGCGAGTAGTCCAAAAATTAGTAATTACTTTAGGTTTCAAAAGAACAGAAAACTTCTATGCCTCTGTTCTACGACTGAAAAGTACCATAAATGAAACTAAGCAAGAATTCAAAAAAAAAAAGAAAAAGTGTTATCCATCTTTCCGAACAAAAGTCATCTTGCTATACTTACATTGATAAATACAAGAGCTCATTTGTTTATTTTATCAAATAATTTAGGATAGGATTCACCTGTGTCATGAGTTTCCGGCCAGAGTCGCAAATTTAGACTCATTCCTTTCCAAAACACAAAAATGGCACTTGATTCCTTCATTTGAAATACCTCTGATTCAAACTAAATCAAAGCACGTTTGAAAAATGCAGTCCATAAAGGCATTTGAAAACTTCTTTGACAGACACGCTCCTTATGTACTAAATGGTAATGGCAAATAAAAACCTGATTTCTCAATAAGATATTTGATGAATGTTCTGATCAAATTGTAAACTTGAAAAATATGGGAAAGAAATTTTAGCTTTGTGCACTTGTACAACTGTCTAAGAGCATACTTACAGTCAAGTCTGACAACTTTTTGGTAAGAGGCTAAGGCTGTTTCTTCGTTTAGGGATCCTGAGTCACTGTACCATCCCAGATTTATACTAGAAAAACTTGCAAGTTCTTTGGAGTCACTGCGCTGGTGCTTCTTTCGCCTAAAAAAACTTCGTCTTGTTGTCCTGCCTTCAAGATCTCCAAGGCTACGTCTCAGCAATAATTCTTCTTCCACCCTGTTAAGAAGTTAAGAGAAAAAGGTTAAAAAGCTAGAAAGGAATAGATACTTAAGTCTATGATATTGTGGACAAATTTAGTCATATATTTCTTGTTCCTTCAGGCCCAAAAATGTTAATTTTAGTTTTCAACGGAGAATCTCCTTCAATATTTCAAAGAATAAATAGAAACACTTTTCTTATAGCGCTAGTTTAAAAGGCCAATAGGACGTGCTTAAAATAAAAAAAAACTATCTCCATTGTGACTTAGGCCGCAAGGTCCATAAGAATACATCCATGACACAACCCATGTCCAGAGGTGGAAAAAATGCCATTCAGCCGAACGTTTCACGCAAAAAGGCATTGTCTGGTCACTTTTCCAGATTTTTTGAAAAAATGACTTCTTTGCACTTCACTTATGAAAATTTGCTTGAAATATTACCGAAAAAGTTGAAAGGATCGATACACTGTCGAAATTTTTCCGAAGTCGTTTTGGACAGAAATTTCTTTACCGATCACGCAATCTGCGGATCGCATGATGGCACCATGGCAAGCAACAAGTTAATGGGTAAGAGAGGCCCATGCACCAAGAAAATAAAAGAAATGAAAAAAAACTCACTTGTATTTGCTAGGTATGATACCACATTGGTGCTGGTAGCCATCTTGATCAACAAGCCATGCACGCCAGTTTCCTGGTATTCCGTTGAACATGGTGTTGTCAACATACAGGACATCATCTTTGTGGAACCTTAATTGTAAATCATCTCCCAGCTCACCAGTTCTATCGAACATTGCTCGAATGTAGAAACTATCTCCTGGCTTGTCTTTTATTTCGTTGTACCCTAAAATTTTGAGCAAGAGGTGAGGTCAATTCCAGATTTGAAAGAGGCAAAGAGAAATGAATAAATAAAGAGAAAAGAAATAGGAGCATGCATAAATGGGTCACTAAACCATGAACGAATTTTGACTTGCGAATATAGTTTTCTGAAGGAAAATGACGCGTAGAACACGATACGCTCATTAAAAACGGGAACAAGTAACTCAATAACCGAGAAATGCGTAGTTCAAATCGCTCAACTTATACGCAAATTTAAAACACCCCAGTTTTGCGCCGCGCCGAATGATGTCATCCGGCACCAATCAGAAGTGGGCAAGGGTTTCAACGACTTCCGTCAAATGTCTATCTACTCTTCGTATATGAAAACAATACTTAAGTCGAAATTATATCTTTTGAATTCAAGACTTGAATCTCATTCATATGTTAGCTGTAATAAATGAGCAACAATTCCGCATTGAAACACGTTTTATTTAAACAAACATCAGAGGAAAATGAGAGAAGATTGCGATGTGACTACCGCAGTGCGTCAACGCCGTCAGTTTCCCGCCATTCGGGTGCGTTTGAAATGTCTTGCAGTTTTTAGATTTTTCAAAAGCGGGTTTCTCCGCGATTTCGGCTCCATAAAAATGCGGAAAAATCACCATGTTATCTACTTACCTTGTATTTTCAGAATATTCAATAAAATAAACAAGGTTTAGTGACCCATTATGGTAATGTAAAGTCTCACAACTCGATAAAATGCAAACATTTTAAATGAAAAAAGTATAAAAATTTGTACAGAAAATCTACATTTTTCATCCTTGTAAAGTATTACAGCACTTATTGAACCTACCTAATTACTTCATTTTAGTTCTTAAATTGATGCATTACTCCATTGATAAAAAATGTCAGTTAATTTTTACAGAAAAGCATGCACTAGGTGTATTTTCACAAAAATTCTTTTTCATCTCAACATTAGCTTTTCAAACTAATCCCAATATCACTTCCGTCATCTATCATTGGACTGAGTTTTAATGATATTTCAAGCAAAAAATCCATTTTGATATTGAAACTTACTGTCAATGTTATATTGAGCTAAAACAGTTACTTTATCCGCAGGTTTAGCAAGTTCATATGCTGCTTCTTCTGCGGTAGCTTGTCGTAAATTTGTTGAATTGTACTCTAAAATTCGATCGCCAGTCCTGAAAAAATAGATAAATAAAGTAATGAATAAAAATAAAGAATTGTAGAACATCCAATGGAAATAGTTATGTAAAAATATGCAAAATTGACGTAAATTTTGATCAATTGTAGATACATGACACTTAAAACACAGATTGTTGATAATACATAAAATTAAGTTACAATTGAAAAATACTGTATTTCCTTTGGAAAATTAACTATAAATTAGTTGCGGTCTAAAGTAGAATAAAAATTACAAAAAATAACTGGCACGGAGCCCCGGTTCTAGGAAGGGGGGGGGGGCTTTGCCCCCAACTGTGCTCTACATAAAATTTTTCCCTCTACGGTGAAACTACTCTGCATAATGCAGAATCGTGACGTCACCTTGGCTATGAAGGTATGATTACAAACTTCTTTTCCTTATCAAATGAAAAAAAAAGGTCGAAAAGGCTAAAATCTTGATAATTTAAGACAAAAGTGAATAAAGTGAACAGTGTGGGTACACGAGTTCCATTCTAACTTTGAAAAAAGATTAAACTGAAATTGAAAAAAAAAATCCATGCTTGTGAAGGACAAATGGAAATCTTACCGCAAACCAGCGTTATAAGCTAAAGAACTAATTTGGACGCTATGAACGTAAATGCCGACAGCATTTCCTCCTACTAAACTTATTCCCAGATTGCTGCACTTCCCAGTTTCCATAGTTAAATACCTTGGACCATCACTGTAAAATACAAAAAAGACAAATATTCATTTGAAAATACTATCGATAAGGTGGAAAACGACCTGTGCAAAATTTATCCTACTTCTGCATAAATGCCAGAAACAAAATGATGCAACTAGTTTAGTCGAAAATCACTCAGCTTTAAGAATTAACAAATTGACCATCAAGGCTTTTTTAATCCCCGGTCCTATCCTGTCATGCAAGTCGATAGGGACTGCCAGTTAAAAAAACTGTGACTTGATAAATGTTTCCAAGTAAAGTCCGTTTTTTCAATGAAGTCAGGCCTAAAAATCTTCTTCACAGCAAAAGAAGTACTCAGTACAGGTTGTTACTTGATGGTAAGATTTGGCTTACCATTAAATCTCTCTCATCATCATAAGATACAGTTGTAGCTTCAAAAAACAACTGTATATGAAAACTTAATAATTGAACACTATTTTTCAGAAAACAGTGATACACACCTGTCTGAGGTTTTCTGTCGGGTTAAAGTTGAAATGGTGTGTCCTACAGCTGGATTACTCTTACGTCGGGATTCTGGAGAATTGCATGGAGTAGGAGTGTCAGATCTACTTTCACCACTGCTCGAACTTCCACCCTCAAGCTCATGATACTCTGAAAAATGAAAGAGGTTTGAAAATAGCTCAAGGAGCTTTTTACAGTCAAATGTTAATGTTTGGCTCACAAGGATTGAGAATGACCCAAACTGCCAGCAAAGTTGCAGGTGAATTCTTTGATTTCCAGTCAATGTTTGTACAATGTATCTGTTGTGCGCAAGAGATATGGCATAATATACAGGGTGGGCCAGAAGTTCCAGGACGGTCGGCTAACTTTTGAACGGTTCGAGATAGAAAAATGAAACTTTGGGAATGTTCCTATCTCAAAAGGGACCATCTTTTGGGGGAGTCAAAATTTTGGTCCCCCCTAAGGGAGGGGGCGGGGGGCCTCCAACTTTTTTTTCAAATGGCAACCCCTATCTTGTGATACCTCATTCGAAAGACCATAAAAAACTAAGAATTTTGGCGCAAACCGCGGATCAATATCTTAATTTTTGACCGAGTTATGATAGGATCAAAAGTCAAATTTGACCTATTTTCAAAAAATCACAACTCCGGTTCAAAATATCGTAAAGAAAAAAATAAAACGGGAAAATTTACTGATTGTGTTCGCTTTTTTGTAAAAATTGCAGAAATCACTTCGAACTAATTTTAAGGGGGGATTCGGACCCCCAAATACGTCAATTCAAAGGTCATTCAATTTTCACGCGAAATAAGCCAATTTCCCCTAGATTTGCCTCCACATTATCTCAGTAAGGTCAAAATCAGTTCAACATTACGTTGGGCAAGTCCCCAAATTTCAGGAAAAGTTAAAAAAAAACGCAATTTAAGGTAATTAAATTTGACCGTTTAAATTGCGTTTTTTTTTTAACTTTTCCTGAAATTTGGGGACTTGCCCAACGTAATGTTGAACTGATTTTGACCTTACTGAGATAATGTGGAGGCAAATCTAGGGGAAATTGGCTTATTTCGCGTGAAAATTGAATGACCTTTGAATTGACGTATTTGGGGGTCCGAATCCCCCCTTAAAATTAGTTCGAAGTGATTTCTGCAATTTTTACAAAAAAGCGAACACAATCAGTAAATTTTCCCGTTTTATTTTTTTCTTTACGATATTTTGAACCGGAGTTGTGATTTTTTGAAAATAGGTCAAATTTGACTTTTGATCCTATCATAACTCGGTCAAAAATTAAGATATTGATCCGCGGTTTGCGCCAAAATTCTTAGTTTTTTATGGTCTTTCGAATGAGGTATCACAAGATAGGGGTTGCCATTTGAAAAAAAAGTTGGAGGCCCCCCGCCCCCTCCCTTAGGGGGGACCAAAATTTTGACTCCCCCAAAAGATGGTCCCTTTTGAGATAGGAACATTCCCAAAGTTTCATTTTTCTATCTCGAACCGTTCAAAAGTTAGCCGACCGTCCTGGAACTTCTGGCCCACCCTGTATATACTTAATCTTTACAGGTAAAATCACACAAAATTCACCTTAAACACGCCAAATATTCTAAAATCCATTCCATAGTGCACAATTAGCGTAATTTGTAACAAGCTTTTTCAAGTTTCTGGCGTCCGCTGGCAGTTTTTCTCCGTTATTGCTAACCAGGATTGCACGGACAGAAGAGTCAGAGAACTAATCTGAGTAAACGAACGATTTCGCTAACTATTTCTATTGTATGATTTCAATTGTTTTTAGCAATTGTTTCCTTTTTATTTCTATATTTTACAAGGAAAAAAGCTTGAATAAATTGAAATATTACATGAAAAGAGTTCATAAAAGTTGGTGAGATTGTTTGTTTATTTTAGTTATGTCTCTCTCCGGGCAAACCTGACTGCCAGCCACCAAGAAAAACTGCCCAAATAAGCGTTAAATTTGAAAAAAAGTGTTCCAAACTATGCAGATTGCGCGCTTAGGAGTGGATTCCAAACTTTGTGTGCCCCACGTGATTTTCGAGCGAATTTACCGTTAGAGTGTATATTCAGTTGGCTGTATTTCTTGGGTGCAACAGACCCATTTACAGGCGATTGCCACCAATAAGGTAAGGGCCCAAAAGACAAGTAATGCTGCTGCGTTTCAAGAAAAATATGAACATTCAAAGAATGCTACGAAAAAATTACTTCCAGGCTTCGCTAGAGACATGCTTAACCAAAAATGTCAGACATACTGGTTTGAGTTTTAAATTAATTCCCGGAAAATTTTAAAAAAATATCTTCAAAATAAAACAGAACACAGTAATACAGTGAAGGCTACTGAAAAATCTCAGAAAACACATGAAAACTTACTATCAGGACTGTACTGTACAAGCATAGTGATAGAATTGCCACACTGTCTCAAAACATTTGCAGCAAGTTGATAAGTAGCACTCCTCATGTTGATTCCACAAACTTCAAGAAGTTGATCTCCAACCTGAATACATCAAAAAAGAGCAACATTAAACGAAAAGAAAAACTAATTGAGCCCTAAGAAATACTTCTACAGACTACATTTAATGCTGAGGGGTTTTGAATGTTATTGTAGCATTGACACTTTAGTTTTGGCAAGAGACGATGTTCGAATCCTCATCACGAAAATACAGCACTAATTTCCGATTGGCTTGCAAATAGCACTATAATGGTTGACTCCGCGGTAAAAGCAGGACAGATGTTATATGACTAGTGCAGTAGCACATCATAAGCAAGAAGTCCTCAAGTTGTGGTGTGGCAGTTAGTCCTTTCCTGTCTAACACAATGACAGAGCTAACGTGCACTAACTCAGGATTTCAGGGTTAGAACGTTGGTAAGGTACACAGAATTCTTCCTTAAGTCGATCAAAAACAAGTCAAAGCTCTGTCCATACCTCTTCCCTTATACCAGAGAACATGTTTGAATGGTTATGAATGGTCAATAAATAGTTACTGTAGGACACTGCTGATCACATTTGATCTGTTTTCCATCGCGGCGGTTTTGCAAAGGTGATAGGGAAAATTGTTTCTGAACACATTATTTTGCCGAGGACTTTTAATTAAATATTCCATTAAGTTTTAAAGAAAAAGATACGCACAAAAGTTTGAGCTTTTGCTCAGAGGGTACAGAAAATTTTTGAAACTGTTAAACAGTGTGAAATTGCCTTAACCTAATTTATCCTAGAATGATTAAATAAATACCTGAAGGCCAACTTGGGAGGCTAAACTGTGCTCGCTAACTGTGGATACAAAAACACCACCACTTTTCAGACAGGATATCTGTATTCCAAGAGGCTCCACTGACTTGTCGATATGGACACGGCGTAATTCTCCTGGTAAAGGTCTGGAAAAAAAGATAGCTTTGCATTTTTAAAATGCCCTGTGTAGGCTAAAAAAAAGGATGATAGGTTAAATATCTCCCTAAACTACCTGAAAACATCAAAAACTTTAAGACTAAGTTTTATGAAAAGACTCAGAAAATTTTAATGGCCTTTCTTTCCAAATGCCATCACTTATCATTTGTGTATTTCCTTTTCTCACCAAAGGCATTGAATTTTTTGAAATTTTAGTCAAAACGACAACGAATGTATATACAGGCATGCAATACATTCTAACGTAAAATCATATTGATGGCCATAGTTGAAAATTGGGTAGCTCCATGGCAAGGTTTCAAAATTGCCGATATAAACGGAATAAAACATCCTGCTAATATTTTTTATTATGTACTATTTTGGAATGAATGAAGAAAATTCACAGAAAATTTCTGAGAAAACTGTTGGGTTTTTTCAGAAAAAATATGACCTGAGTGGAGATTTCTAACGTTTCAATCAGAGATTCACATTTTATTTTGTTAAAACATCCAAAAAGGGTTTGATGTCTTCAATTTTCCAAGTAACCTTCAAATTCCTTCAATGTTTACGGACATTTATGGACACCTTACCTGCAACTTTAAGTGGGTCAAAAAAGTGAAAAACTTTAGCTGCATCACTTACTTTTGAGACCAACAGTAATCAGGTAACGAGTTCCTTTTATTTTGGCGAGAACCGGAACTCAGCACTTCAACGTGAAAGGTAGGCATTGGACTCCCTCTTTCCGATGACTTCTCAATACTACCGGTAGAAACTTTTCCTCCGCTGCTCTTGCTTGCAACGCTAGGGTTGGATGGGATCCTGAAATGTGACAGAGGTGTGTACTTAACTTTTTTATGAGAATAGTTTATATTAATATTAAACTGAGAATAAAATAAAAAAGATAAGACCTGGAGACTATGCCTGTTTTTAATGATATTTGTTTGCATTTATCTCGCAAAGTTTATTAGGCCTCGAGAACTTAACTCAAAATACATTAAAGAATCGACATATTACCCACAGACTGTACGCTTTGATAATGTAATAGTTAAAGCACTTGGCTGCTCTTTAGTTTTCTCCCCTGGATCCACTGAACTTAAAAAAGGGAAATTACTTGAGGTGCAAATTTTTAACTTCTTTCTATTTTATCTTATATTTACTTACAAATTATTGTTGTATTATCTTGTATTTACTTACAAATTATTTTAAGGCAAGGGTAGTATGCTGATAACATCTTACTCAAAAAAGACTTCAAAACAATTAATTCTAGAGACTTCTTACTTTAAGAGGGAAAAAACAAAATGGAGCGAAAAAAGGCTTACCGAAATCTTTGGTTTTCTTTCTTCCTGGGAAAGGTGCCACCATGATAAGGTTGATATGACTCTGGGACAGGAAGATCATCATGGGCTCGACACCCTCCAGGATGAGAATGAGCAGGTACAATTGACTTAGATTTATGATATGCGGAATCGACAGACGGAGAGTGAGTGTGATGAAACTGGAAAAAGAAATATTGAAATGTGATAACACACATAAAGAAACAGAAGATTTACTCTGTTCTGTCCATACACTTCAGAAAAAAATCCAACTGCACCCAATTTTCCCAGACTTTTTTCAAATCTACTCCACCATCAGGAAAGGAGCGACATCTAACATATGATTGACCCTAATATACCTATTTACCCTTAATTATAATTGACTCTGATCATTCATGTTATGATGGACCAGTGGACAAGGTACAAAGTGAAGCATTCTGATACATGTTTCCTAGATAAAATATCTTGTAGAACATGATTTGCGCAGCGAAAATTACTGAAATTGACACCAAACAAAGATATTTCATGTTTCTTCTAGCGTGAATTCAAACCTTCCGCTCATAAAAACTCAATGGTATAAGTGAGTCGAAACGTGCACTAAACGTTACCATGACAGTCTTTGCGATGTACAAATCTGGCAACTTCAATCTTGACGCTTTGGCTAGGCAATATACAAAGTTATAAATAGTTTGAACTACACAGGGTGGGAAATGACAAATGTTCAATTAAGAAGCCTGTCGAAACCTTTGTGGTACGCGATTCGACTCAAGTAGAGTATTGAGTTTCTAGTGATCGGGCAATTCAAATTTCCCGTGACCAATGTAAAATTAAAACAATGATATCTTAGTAAGGAGTTGATTTCAGTAATTTTTGATGCAAGAATCTCGTTCTACGTGATGTTTTGGTCCAGAATTATGTACAAGAATTGTTAGTCAATCAACTAGTCAAGGCCTGGACTTTTCCTGATTTCTTCAGGTTGTTGTAAATTTCCTGACTTTCTAGGTTTTTCAGACCGCCAAAAACCTTGATTAATACACGGATATAATGAGGAACTCACCGATGAAAGCGGACTGTAAGAAGGAACTGAGGGTTCGAAGCAATAAGACCTTGGATCCGAGAGTGATACGGGTTCATTACTTTGATGAGTGAGCGATGAATAACGATTGTGAGCATGAGAATGCGAAACTGGATGCAAAAAAGGTGTAAACGGATAGTGCGGAGTGCCGTAGAGTTGAGAGTGAATTCGACTGTGTGACTGGGAGTCTGCATTGGATTCGGTATCCGAGGACTGGTATTGTTTTGGTGTTTTCTTCTTCACGTAATACTCTAAAACTTCTTTACCTACAAATTAGAACAAAAAAAGAGGACATCATAAGGTGGTTAAAGAACAGCTTGGGTAGAAATTTAAAGGATGTGAAGGTTATAACCTTCCAAATTTAGATTCACTGAATGGACATACTCAACTAGAATTCTGAGCTTAAAAGTTGCAAAAAAGGATTAGCTATGCATGATAAAAAAGGTTCCGAAGATGTAAATCTCATAGTCCAACAATGAAAAATGGCCGCTGATGGACGTAATTGTATGACTCCAGGATGAGCGCTTCTATCTATTGTTTGAGGGTTTATAGGCTAGGGCAAGTCTAGATTGCTTAAATGAAACATTGGGCCTGAGATTCCACATTTAGAAAATGCTCTGAGCCAATCACTGACTCAGTCCTTCACTTGCTAATTTTTGCAGTAAAAGCTTTAGTTGTAAGTTCATCTACCTAATTTTGAATTAACAATACTTCTTTGACAATTCTACTAATAAAGTACAGGAGAATAACAAATACGACAAAAATGTAAATCAGTTCCTTACCGATGTTTCCTGACTTGACTGAGAAGTCAATGCCCCCATCCTTCTGCGCAATTGAACTTCGCTGTTCTTCTGGTCTCTGACAGCAAGGTGGAAAATTATAGTTTGGGGGATTGTTCAACAAAACGGATAGAGGGAGTCGCTCTTTATTCTTTCTAGGATGCATGATTGTCCCCGTTTTGTGTTCGATGAGAGGTCCTCCTCTCACTTTTGGCCATGTGCCTCCGTTCTTGTCCATCTCTTTACTTTTATGATGGTGACTATGTTTGCAATGATACGAATCGATGACCGAATCTAGTTCCGCAATAGCATCATCTCGCTCTTGGTCAAAAGGAACTGGAGATGCATCACGATCATGTATGTGTTTTTTCTCTTCTTTTAAGGACCTTCCGCAGCGCCCATGGACTACGTCCATTTTATCACAGATCAAATCCCATTTGTTTGAAGTAGAAGGTTTTTCTAACGCTGGTTTCTCTGGGACTTCATAGATTGGCTTCTCACTGTACCTGGATTGAGCAAGAATACACAGGCAAATTGTATAAGAAGCAAGATAGACATAAAACTTAGAAATTTTCACATTTTTATTTTACCTCTTAAATCCTCAGTATCTAAATTCTAAGGTGCTTTAATTAATTAGGCTATAAGAGGCAACACTAACCCTTTGAGTTAGCTTTTTGTAATGGTATGAGTGTAAAATACTTGTCAACTTCTTGCCAACAATGTTACAGCTACAAAATTCAAATCTCACTTAAATGAGAGCAGAAGTGAACTGCATTGTGCAAGAAGGAACTAATTTTTTTTCATTTATAATGGTTTTGGGGCAGTCAGTGCAGGGTAACATAATCAAGTCAAAACTTAAGTCAAGGGTAAATAGTTTATAAGGAGAAAAATTTATCACTGGAAGCTTTTTAAGGAAAAAGTAGGTTTTAAAATGGGAAGGCTAGGAACTTTCTGTACCCTTAAAAGGAGAGGTTGAATTTTTGTTTACTTTCTACGGGTAAACAGCTCAAAATAAAAAGATTCAGAAGTTCGAAATACTCACCACATGTAAGTGGGCTTATTTTCAGTTTGCGAGCTGCTATTGGTATACTTTTTGTAAACGTCACGATTGGACATCTCTGCCCTACAGTTACTGGAGCAGTGAGTTGTTTTCAAGGTAGTAAGGGTTAGCAAATTTCCCGGCTCATTCAGTAAAGCCATTGCTTCTCGAAGACTACCCACACCATCTAATGGTCTGTTATTGATCTGTAACGAAAATGAAGTTGGTTTACAACTGATTCTAAACTAGAACGTCTACACAGCTGTAGGCGAAAAAGTGTACAGGTGTTAAATGCAACTGTAAAATACTTTAATTCCTGGGATTCCTAGGCTTGTTAAAAAATATCACAACTCCTGCTATGTGATAATGCATTTGGACTAGGGTTCTTTGCTCACTGAGCAAGGTTTCTTACCGAAACAAAATTTTCAATTTTCCTCGACGTAATTTCATATTTCATGCCAAAGCATTGGCAAAGTTACTTCTGGTCCGCTGCAAACCCACAGACTGCATCTCCATGAGTTATAATCTTGCCTAGTGGCCCATTCAATCATCTTATTTTACAAGAAGGTGACACATTATTGCTCCTAGTATCGACAGTTCTACTGCAGAAAAGATAAAGGACAATATTTTATTTATGATTCTTATGTATTGAATGCGGCAGAAAATTTTCTTCCGAGCTGAAAAACATTAATACAGAAAACTGATGGAAAAAAATACTTACGCTTAATACTCTGTCACCAATAGCTAAATTCCCTTCTTTGGCTGCTAATGAACCAGGACTTATCCTGCTGATGTAGTAACCATTTTCTAACGTTAGGCCATGCTCATAGTTATTTAGCTGTAACTGAAAATGTAAATGAGTTAAAATTAGTGTTTCAGCAGTATTGAAAAATTTTCAGCTACGAAGGGAAAATTTTACAAAGCTTCCTTTCATCTCATGTTAAAAAGGATTTAATTTTTTTCCCCTTCTTTTTCTTTGGCCAATGGCCTGGAAAATGTTTCATAGATATTTATACTGGACCATGGACTCAACCACAATTGAGAGGTGGTTAGCTGTTGAAAAAATTTGGAAACAGTATCCTTGCAGGTCTCAGAATTAGTGTCTATATTGGTGATAGCATGCAAAAAACCTTTTAATTTGATTTTGCTTGTAGATTTTATTCAGATCAAGATCTATTTTCCAATTTAGGTAAAATCAAGGTTTACTTACATGTGTTGTAAACAAACTTCTGGCACCAATTCTTCTTCTTTTTACTACCAAGACAACTGAATTTGATGAGCTGGACTTGATTGTTTCAACAACCATACGCTTGCTAACATTGCTACAGTCAAAATTATTTACTCGCATGATGCAGTCATTTGCCCTGAAAGGAAATTTCGACAGCGTGTATGAGAATAAATCTGTGTTGTGGCTGCTTTCTTTATAAAGGGATTTGGTCATGAAAATATGTATCTTGGCACTTTCTTTGTTCTCTAATTTCTTAGTTTGTCAAACCTGATACGTTAATGTAGGATCAACTTGATGAACCAACAAATTGGGAGGGGGGGGGGGTTACTTACTGGAATCATTTTACCTCTTGTCCATGAAATATTGACTACATTTTTTAAGTGATTTGAATTTTTTTATAGATAAATAAAACAAATCACAGAGAATGAAGGACATCCTGTTAAGATTTTCCTGGAATACACAATCATGAAAAATAAAACCCAGCTGTATTTGCAGGCATTCTTCTTGAAGGAAGCCAATTTCTTAAATTATTTACATCCCTTTTGAAGCGCTAATAGCGTAATGTATCCTTCTGCACTCTTCCTTAACCAAGGAAATGTCTTTAACTCTGATTTTCAATATTTTTTCATAAAATTAAGCTTAAATTTTTAGTCATTGCAAAAAGATGCGCAAAATTAAAATGCATGTAACACTGGATTTAGACCTCCCTCTTCCAAGTCATGCATCTTAAGGATAGACTCAGCTGTCGAATGCTGCCTAACGTGAGTTCTTACCTTAGTTTCCCGTCAGTTATACTTCCTTTGACTACATTAGCTACATAAATAGCGCTATCGTTGGCAAAATATGGGTCATCTCTGCCACCAATTAATTCAAACCCAAGATCCTCTTCACTTCCCAGACCACTCTAGAAAAATTAAAGCATTCATGGAAAAAATTAATTACAAATACTGATCAAAAACTTTAGTGCGGAATGCAGGTAAATGTTTTACCTGAACTCTTTAAATCCTTTGAAAAAGCAAAGAACATGTCACCATGCGAACATGTGAGCTGCTAACCTAATCATTGCTAGATAGATTTCCACATCGCATTTCAGCTATTCTATTACAGTGAGCTCTTACGTTTGTCAAATCTATCTATCTATGAAGATACTACACAGTAGGAATAATAACACATTTTTTTGGATTAATTTTTCCCAAGATTAGATAAATTGTTGCGAAAATTGTATTAGTTAGAATCTTCAGGGTTTAATTTACTTTTCGATTGTTTCATTCGATTAATTGTTCTGATTTAACTAAGAAACATTTTCAAAAACAAATTTTTTCAATCTGCTTATTCAATAAATAAAATTGAAACATCAAGCTCTTTTTTTCTCCATTGTGTCTACCAAACATTCTGTGTGAGACGACAGTGTTTATTATAAGATTGGTATAACCTGTCTCACTATGATTCTATACTTAAAGCATAAGTTAGTGATCATGACTTATGCACAAAGATAACATCCATGAAGAAAATGGACTGACAATAAAATAGTCTGATCACTAAAATAAAAAATAACCAAAAACAAGCTCAAAATAAGGATTAATGATTGGTTGTCTTAACTTACCAAGTTAATATTGACCGTTTCAGTATCCCACTCAGCCAAGTCAGTGTCTATTGCAGAATCATGACTGTGACTATGCTCAGTAGAGTGGAATTGTAAGATTCGGGATTCTTTCTCTAACTGAGCTTCCATTTTTTCCCTGCAAAAGTTGTGAATTTTAATTTTGAAAAAAGGGTGGGTGCACGAACCGAAAATTTCCCTTGTGTTTTAGATATATAATCTCTATTTTTGAGAGGAAATTAGGCAAGAAACACACAATGTTACAAATTCTGGTTGCTCATGGACTTCAGAGATTGGAAGTACTCAATTCAATTTTGGAAGTTACTACTGAATTAAATTAGTTCAATCACTTTACTTTCTTATTTAGAGTTTTTTATGTTTAAGAAACTCATCTTAATGTATCAAAGAAACTGATCAATAGAGCATAGGTGTAAATTTTTAACTTTAATTAAAGGTGATGAACCAAGATAGACAGAGGGAGAGATTTGGGTCAAAGATAGACAGATAGCAGCAGGTAATAATTTCAGGGGGTTCAAATACATTCTAATTCCTCATCATCATAGCTTTTGTATACCCATAATTTTTATGGGTAATCTCATTTCAGTAAATGAAGGGTAACCATAGAGTACATTAAAAAAGGGGGAAAAAAAAGGAAGGGAGTACTTACTTGAGCACTTTAAGTTCTTTGGTAGTTTCATTTTTTTGCTTCTTGATGTCATCTGAGTCACGTAATGCCTCAGCTAGATCTGAGACAGCTCTATCACGCTCCTTCCTTAACTGATCACATAATGTGCGAATGCTTTCACGTTCCCACATTATTTTATCTCGCTCACTGAAAGCCCAGTCTCGGCGACGTTTCGATACTTGCGCTTCTTGCAGTGCCTCTGTTATACAAACAAAGATCCTCATATTTGTAAATTGAAAAAACCAAACAATTCACCGATGGATTTTTGAGGAGATAAGAAGATGGCATGATAGAGAGCGATGTCTTTGAACTGCAGAAAATGTAGTTCACAAACCTACTTAAAATTGATAAAACCTTCTCGAAACAGATCATTATTTCATTTGCAGATACACTGAATTGCTTGATAGTTAAAAAGATAAATAGGCATCGAGTGCCTTGCAGACTGCATCATTCTTGCAATATTCAACACACTGAATTCAAATGGTTCCTAAGTAAGTAGTACAATATAGGCTCGTGTCCAAAACCTGTGTAGTATTTACTGTGTCAATTCATTACAATTTTGTATATTATTAAATCATAAATCAACTGGCTTATCAAACACGAGAAATTTCAAAAGCAAGAAATACTTGGACTCATTCTCCTACCCTAGAGTGAATATGAGAAGGTTAGATGTCTCTTTAAATTGGAACCATCAAACAGCAATGTTTATCGAATGACGTAGGATATAAATCCATATAGAATAAACATTTTGGAACACTACTATTGAAACAGACCATTGAAGTAGCTATGACCACTGTGATCGGGCAAATTAGGACTTATCTTTCATCAATGAATCTACAAACCAGTGCTATGACATTGACCCAAAATTTTAGAAGCCAATTAATCGGCATGTATGATTTGTAAAAGAAACTATCTAACATTTTCTGAAGGCCGTAGAGATTCCTGATATAGCAGCATGAAATTCTGCAATAATCAGCGACACAACAGTAATCAAGTCTACTTTTGACCAGCGCTCCTTATTCACAAGTACGTTGGAATCTCCATGTCGGAGGAGTCAATACACAGCTGATGATCTGTAAGTATTATCATTGTCTTTGAAATATATTTGCAAGTACGACCCGCTGAAAGAAAACTACTTGTGGCATAATCTACACGTAACTTATGACTAAATTTAGAAATTTAAAAATACCTTGTAACTCAGCTTGAAGTTTCTCATTCTGCTTGGTCAAACGGTCTATTTCTTGATTCGCCTGATCCAGGTTGTCCATTCGCTCCTTTTGCGATTTCACAAACATATCAATTGATGCTGCCTCCACTTCTCTTGCATCGTTTCTTGTTGTGTCTCTTTCTCTGCTGTAGGCATACTCGAATCTGCTCTTCATCGCTTCTCTTTGTGACTCTTCCTTGGCTGTGAATTCACCAAATTTTTCTCGCAAGTCGTTGCACTCTTTTAAAGCTTTGTCACGGTCATGCAATGCAGAGGCAATTTCACGTTTCAGAGTTTCAATGTGGTACGTTAGAGCTTTTTTCTGCAAGAAAGAGCACCCGTTCATTAGAAAAAAAATCAGAATTAGAATTAGGAGACCTGCCGCCCTGGAAAAATATTTGGACTATTTCATACATCAGTTAAGCCAAGATTGGAGAAATCTAACCGTGGCTTAGACATGTTAGGGAGGTTAAGTTCAGGACTGGGCCTTTCTTGCCAGTTCAGTTTCCATACCCCCTCCCCCTTTCCTCTTCTAAATTCTTGAGGTCAAACTTCACTTTCTTCAAAGCACTTCACTTCTTTGAAAGCAAAAACGTGCTTATTTTTTGTGGCATCAACGAGCTGAAATTATGATAATCCATGAGAATAATGTGACAGTGATTATGAACAAAAGTTTCTATGTAAACTTTTGTTTTATACATATTTTTATGAGTACCTACGTTGTAAGAAAAAAAAGAAAAAAAGAATCTGATGAGAGATATCTTTACAGTTTTTCCGTATGTTTTAGAAACTTTACTTCCTACTAAGCATGGACGGGGGTGAAAACTAAAATATTATAAAACAAAGTGCTGGAGAGAGTGGGGCACAGTAGCAAGAAATTTTTGCAGGGTTGTACTAGCATAATTTCTTTAATGAAAAATTTTGTTAAAAAACGAAAAAATTCATTAAAAGCTCAAAAAAGTATTTCTGAGGGGAGAAAAAGCTAAATAAAATCAGACCAAGCCTGTTGGCTTTTCACTGGTCTGATTTTATTTTAGTTTGTTGTGTTGTTTGTTGATTTTAGTTTGTTAACTAGTTGTTGTTGCAAAGCGATGCCTGAAGCTAAGTTCAGCCGATCAGCAAACACCGTTTCTCCCCCCCTGGTTACGTTATCAGAGCCTGCCAACAATATCGTTTCAAGTAGGTCCCATTTTTGGCATTTATAATGCAGAATCTTTCTACTACAAGTTAACACAAATTTAAAAAATTCTTGGAGCTTTATTTCCTTGGTGTTCTCAGAAAATGAATTGGAAAAAAAGGGTGCTATTGATCATTTTTCTGCAAATCACTATGAAAATTAGTATCAACAATTAGAATACAAAAAACCTGAGGCTCATTCATAAATGTAAAAAGAAAAAAATAGAATGAATACATAATAAAAGAGCATTACTTCTTCAATAGATTCTTTCATTTCTGCTTCAAGGGCTTGATTTTTGTTGAAAGCAACTGAAAGGTCTTCGGAAAGTTTTTCAATTTCTTTGTGTACCGAGTCTCTTTCACTCATAACAAGGTTATACTCAGCCATTGCAGCATTCCTTTCTTCGGTTAACCATTTTAAATCTTCACTTGCTTTCATTCTGACAGCCATCGCTGCATTGAATTCTTTCACAGCCTTATCATGCTTCTCTTGTAACTGAAAAATTCAAACAAAACTTATGAAATCAACTCAACACCATTGATTGAAGAAAAAAAGTACTTTGAAAAAAAACTTTGAAAAGGATCTCCATTTAATATAGTGTTACATCCATCAACAGAGTTATTAATCAACGTTTACATTGCATGAGTGGTAGTCTGGGACAACATGGCTTAAAATTTTGTTAAAAATAAATTTTTATTAGAGCTTGTTTTAGTTAACTTGACCTTTTTCACTGTGTGTATGGAGTAGGGAATTCAGTACTCCAGGTACATGGCGAAAAATATCAAGTTATATGAAATGGGCTCTAGAAAATTATTCACTTAGGAAGACCCTTTGAATACTGTGGAGCCATTCATTTGGTTGTTATCAGTACAAAGTTAAGTTGCTGGGTAGCCTAGCCCACTTACAGTTAAAGAAGAATTACCTTCCTGATTCTGACTTGAATTTTTTGACAAATTGTCACCCTTTTAAAATTTTTCATTTTCTTCTTACAGCTTACTGACTAAGGATTTCAATTAATCTTCACAACAATGGAGGTAATCCTAATATTTTTGTCTCAAGCTCCATTCAAAATTTTATTCTCAGACCTTCGGATGCATCACATTTACAGCTGACGTGCAGCAGATATTGAGGAATTTTAAGACGTTATAAGGACTCCTTTTTTTTATTCATTTATTTTTTCATAGAAAAAAAGTTGCATCAAAACAGGCTACAAAAAATAATTCATTTGTTTAAACTTACCGCTTTCAAAGCTGCCTGGACCTCATTACGTTCATGTAAAGCCATGTCCCACTGACGAATTACTGCAGTGCATTGTTGTTTCAGACCGTTTCGCTCTCTTAACACAGAATTTCTTTCTTTCACCATTTCTTCGCATTGGTTCTTCAATCGCCCCACTTCCTCCTGCAAAATGACCAAAAAATGGTAATAATTAATTTCTCCAATGAGGAATGATAGTCATGGGTTGAATATTGTGTAATACTATGCAATTCAAAGAAATTTGATTGAAGCAACTACATACATAACCAAAACTTTTTTAAATCATGAGCTGCATTATAACGGCAAACAATAATTCTCTAGTGCACAATCCGTCAAAGTTGCTAGAGAAAAGGTATATGCTGCAGAGCAGTATCAGGAGGCTGCAGTTAATTTTGAGCCGTTATAGCCTGTAAGAACCAAAGAGTCCTGTTCTGCACCAGATACCCTTTTTGATAAACTAGATTACTAACGGTTAAGTTAATAGATAAACAGTTTGATCATGTCCCCACTTTGTATCAAAACAATGTATGAAACTTGGCGCATACAGGGCTTGGAGTTCTTCGATCAAGACCTAACTTCAGTTCTGTAAAGATTACGAATCTGTGTCTTTTGACCTTGCGCCTATTGTTCAAGACAGAACATGTCAATACACCGATCGAAATTTCAGATTTTTTTTCAAGACATTACAGCTTGGCGACAAGAAAACCTGATCATCCCCATGTTTAACTTAATCATTTTGAATTCTTGATGGTGCTTCCAAGGCATTTGAAAAATATGAAAGATGAATATTCGTTCAAAGCTTCCTCCCTCTCTTAATATTTTTAAGTTTTTCCATTTACTTTCCTTCAGTCAAACGAAACAACATTTTATACTTGAAGCTTGCAAAAAAAATAGTATTTCAGGGGAATATTAGTGACTTCTTCCAAAAAAAAATCACTTCACTGAACAGTAAACAGTAAACACTCTCCTCAGACATGATAAAACGGAGAGAAGAGAGTAAATATCTATGAGGAATTAATTTTACAAGAAGTATGAAAAATCTCCTAGTTTAATAACTGCATTTAAGTAATATTAAAAAGATTAAAAGCTTAATGAAAACAAGATCATACTTGGGCAAGTTCCAATTTGTCGACAGCGGAAGAATGAGATGATATTAAATCATCATATCGTTTCCTCAATGACTCGTACTCATCCTTCACAACTTCATACTTGCTGAGGGTTGAAATAAAATGTTGATTAATGGAATCTGAGTTTCCATTTTCAGCCACGATGACATCCTGAGGGATAAAAACAAAAATCAATTAAGACAAAATCTGATCAGGGTTTTATGAAAAATGTGATCAATACTATTTATTAAATTAAAGTTTAATTTGTTGACTGGAACACTGGCCTGTAGGGACTAGCACTTTGCTCGCTACTGTGCTTAAAAATATTCTGAAGCTTCAACAGTCCCAACTTCCTTTTTTTTAAAAAACAGAAAACTACTTTTAGCATGAATGCACTTCTTGCAAACCTCATCAGTTGAGATTTGTTAAAAATACAAAGCATGTACAAAACACTGTATTTTTTCTCATATATCGGCTCAAGGTCTTTGATCTCAAACAAAAAAATTAACTATAGACTAAGAATTTAATTTCAGAGTTTACCTGCTGATTACAAATGCTTGTCTGCAGCTCAGTTACTTCTCTGTCCAATCTTTGCTTGTCCCTTATCAACTCAGAGTACATGGTTCGAAGACTGGATGATTCTTTAGCGGCTGCCTCAAGCTGCGACATGGCTGCATGGTGCTGATTTCGATAATAGTCCAGTTCTTTCATTGTGTGTTCACATCGACGAACAGCTTCACTGTGTTGCCTGTTTTTCAAGAAAATTTTGTTACTGAGAATATTAATTTAATGGAACTTCTTTAAGGATTCTGGTTACTTCTGTTTTAGGGAAATTTCCTAAGCTTATCAAAATTTGCTCCCATTTTAATCCGAACATCCAGATTCTGGTGTGTAAACATCATCATTTACCTTGAATAAATTTACACTAGATGAAATAATCATGAGATTCTAACAGCATTTTACCATTCCCTGCAGGAGCATTCAAAGATATGGGAGAGGGGGGGGGAGGGTCTACTTTGTCAAAACGATTGTTTCTAGCTTTTCCAAATCCCATAGATTTCCTAATGATTGAATCCTAGGCCTGAAATTTTCTGGTTTTTCCTGATGTTTGTCCTCAATTTAGAGTATACTTGAATGTAACAGACAAATTGAGCTGTGTGACCAAAGGAAAATTTCTTCAAAGAAATGCAGTAAAACTTATCTTACCTCCGCAGCACTTGAAGCTCATGCATGGCTTTGTCTCCCGGCTGCTTAAAACTGTCATAATCGCGGGATGAGTTTTCTCGATTTCGATCGTTGCCTGAGAAACTCCTTGGAAGGGCCTCTGCAAGTTAAGAATCATACAATTTAGTGACTGACGAGGAGACTGAATGCATAAAGTAACTTATTTGAGTTCAGATGAGTGACTTAAAAAAACATTTCACTTTGATCTTCAAACCAAACCACCATCGAATGAAAGAAGTTACAGCTTCTGGGCTCAGCAGGGATAAAGAAATATCTATACTTTTGCACTTTCACAAGCCTGCCTAGCAGCTTTGAATTTCTTGGTATTCTCAAAAATTATTACGTCTTTAAGTTTTGCTTGTCAAATGCTTGTTCGAACTTTGAATGGGTATCAAAGCGCCAAAGTGCATGATTTGAGTTTGGTACATGTTACTCCTTCTTATTACTGAATTGTATGAGTTCAAAATTTGTTTTTTTTTCCCAAAAAATTTATCTTCAAATTCAGTAGGGGTCTAAACTAAAAAAGAGGAGCTGAGAGCAAAATACACAGGAAAAAATAAATAAATAAATAAATAAATAAGGTTAAGTAAAAACACAATACAACCCCTCAGAATTTCTGATTGCCTCAGATTCAGCATAATAATTGTAAACAAAAAAGATTCATATAGAAACAAAATGTAGATAAAGATCAAATAATGTTGATTAATAAAAAAGTACTTCGGTGAAGACAGAAAAAGTCTAATGAACAATAAGGCTAAATTGAAAGCAATTTCATCTGAGACTAGGCAAACTCTCCTGCCTGGGATTGTTTCATTTCTCAGCTCCTGTCTTCACAATCTACGTAATTATGTCCTCTGCTTTGACTGCTTGCAGCCTGCTTACAAGGAAGTCACCTTAAAGAATAAATGCATAATTTGAAATTTGATAATGAAAAGTTCACTTTTTCCCAAGACCTCAATTTAAATTATCTTGGTATTCGTTACTATAAGTTACCATTACTTTTACTTACCTCCACTACTAGACCCATCCATCGAGGAATCTGGCGATGCCATTTTGACAGGTAGGCACTAGCTGGCGTCTTTAAGAGAGACAGTTCTACTTCTCAATCATTTCTATTAAAATGAAGCAAGGCTTCCAGGATTACACTGGTAGTTGACCATGAAAGAAAGTCATCCCTACAATGTAACATGAATTCTTCATTTTTTGTCAGGAAATCATTGCGAGAGTATGGATAAAGAAGATCGCCTGAAAAAAAAAAAAAAAAAAAAAAAAAATGTGTGGTAAGTTGCTCATTCTACCCAGATTGGCCCTTTTGGCAGTATCCTTATTTTAAATCTTGAGTCAGACTTGTAAGCTGGCACATGATTCTTGAATTGGTTACAAAGGAATGGTACATGTAGGAGGTATTAGAACTGGGGAAAGAAAAGATAGGACAAAAGTCACATTAACCTGAAAACATCAGATGGCCCATTGGTTAGCATGTAAATTTCTGTTGAATGGTGCAATTTATGGATGTGACTTTTTTTCCCCCCAGTTCTAAATTGAACCGAAGAAAATTTTTTTTAATTACAAAACCTAATTTTTGTTGACCTTTCTTCTTCAAAGGATGTTGCTTCAACGCTAAATCTCTGTCATAAAATTTTAATTTCTTCCGGGTAATTGTTGAAGATAAAAAAATTACCTGATACCTAAGAGGATTTATAGGTAAGCGTATCCAATAGAACGGCAGCCAGGCGAACATAAAATAGGCAATACTATGAAGATATCTTTGCTGGGATATTCTTCCTTACCTCTATACAATTGTCTCCTTACAAGTTGTTAATCAGGACATTAACTAAAAATATTTCACTTAAGAGATTGCTTTTGCTTCTCCAATTTTTTCTACGGCTGCTCCCTTTCCTGTTGCACTTATTACTTCGGGAATATTCACAGCCTCTGAAGAATTTAAAATGAAAAAAAGTAGCCGCTTGCAGCGAGCCCAAAAGAAAATGCAACCGATTCGTTCTTGCATGATAGTGATAGATCAAAACAACTTTCGAATCAACCAGGTACAGATGTTTGAAATTCACTTTATGATTCAGTCATACATGGACCCAAATATTGGATCAGTTTGTTGTATCACATAATTCCACAATGCAAAACATCATTCGCACCCTAGTCGGAGCCAGTCTTAACTGGGACAGTAAAGCGATTGGCCTGCTGGTTCCGCAGAAGGAGGACACAAGAAAACCCTGATAACATAATGAATGCAAGAACTTGAGAGGCCTGCGAATTAAATAAGTTGGCTAAGTGCAACAGGGCTCAAAGGAGCCTCACACTTCAGAGAGTGAATGATTAATAATCTGCAGGGGTGTATTCTGGGTGAAATGAGAGTTCATTTGAAAAATGACAATGATGGCTACCGTTCAGTGAATTGAGGTTATCATCTATAAAAAATTTGGAAAGGGTGAGTAGAAATTGAAACTCACCATAAGAAGGGTCAATTCAATTATTCTTGAACGAAGATGAAAGAATAAAAGCTTGAAATAAAGGCACACATACAATAAAACAGAAAATGAATTGCTAATTGAAATGATAATACGTAAACACAAACATTGGAGGCTTAGCACATTTTGCTAGAACAAGATTTAGCGGGGCGGAGGGGGTAAGGAAAGGTACCAAAAGCTATGACGCTAAATAGTGCCAATAATGCCTTAATGTGCAGCGAACTTTCGCCGGTCTGCCGTCAAAAACGAGAGAAAAAACAGAAAATTTGAGATATAAACGTTAATGAAATAAACTTATTACACTTTTCAGCACCGGTATGCTTATCTTTTATCATTCCCACTCCTTCACAAAATTTTTTAGGAAGTATGATTTGGCAATGTTGTAATGAAAGCTTAACAATGTGGCATGGAAAGAAATGAAAAATTTTACTAGAATGTTTCTCCTCTTGTTTTTGCTCAGTTGGTAACCTGCTTCAAGCTATCACGCTCCAATGAAATTTCAACACGAAATTTTTTGTGTTTACGTTCATGACTTGAAAAGGCATGTGTGTCGGCGGCTCAGTATAGTGCAATAATTTATCGTGATCTGAAATAAAATCTGTGTGCTTCATCATGATCAGACTTTAATCAGATAGCTTGCCAATTTTCATCTCCACTCTCTAAAGTTCAACCTCAAACGAAAGCAAAGTTCAAACAGACATCATCATCGTTCGCTCCTCTTGTCACTGCATCGTCGTCTAGGTTTAGTTCTGCATCATGTATCTACTCATTTGTAAGTCAACTGTTCAGCCTTTTACCTTATATTACACATATTTCAAGTATGGCTAAATTTCAAACTTTCCGTTGAGTCCTTTTCATGCTCTCTGATAGTTTGTGTCTTCTATCATCCGCAGGCATCAAAGTAACTACCTAGCAGTCTTATTTGACTGATCACGAGATGCTTTTTAAGTACGTCTTCAGAAAAGGGTGTGTTTCATTTTATGTGCAATGAGAGCCTTGCTTTACTTTTCAAATTGCTGCACCTTTGCATTTTCACATTTACTGATCACCATAATAACAGTCTACGGCACCGCAGCTAAATTCTCTCAAGTTGAATAAATAGCCGCACAGTACTCATCGTAAGGTCTTAAATAAGATTTTTCCGCATGGACTGTAACACTCCATTGAAAGAGAATTTTAGTCAGAGCGGAGCTCAATGCAAAAAGATTTTAGTTTCTTCTAGTCGGATCCTGGCACTACGTCACGATGAGGTGGCAGCTCTCTTGCTCAAGAAAAGCAAGTCACTGAAATTTTTCTTTGGATCATACATTTTTAATGAACCTATCAATGTCTATCCGAGCTACTTTGTTGATTGTCCACCAATACTGGTAGCAACACATCATGAAGATAAGGAAGGCAATAGTTATAAGAGCATACCTTATGCAGTGAGCATTTAGAAAATGTGACTGTACTTAATTAACTCCAATTTGGTTGGAACTAAAAGGTAACTTATGCTGAAGACCGGTTGTTCTCAAATGTTTTGGTGATTAATGTACAGATTGCAAAAAGACCAGGAAAGTCAACTTCTTTTATTAATAATGACTAATTGATATCATAAAACAACTCTTTCTTTACTCTAACATTTTGTTTTGCACATTCTTTTATCCTCTCTTGTGGTCTGCCTTCCAGGTTTTGCGTTCCTTTTCAAGGCCGGTCATGCCTTGTACCCTTCAAATTCTGATGTCATTGATTTAACTGAACGAAACTTTGATGAACTTGTCACAAAAAGTGATAGCTTGTGGATTGTTGAATTCTATGCACCATGGTGTGGACACTGTCAGCAGTTTGTCCCTGAATATGCCAAAGCAGCTAAAGCATTAAAGGTACTTAGCATTTCACTGTCCATAACTTTCATGCCAATTTCTAGCTCACATCATGAAAAAAAATTTAAGCATTAGCTTATTCTGTTTTCAGCATTTTTGTCCCACTTAAAAAAATTTCTGTGAAAAAGTCCTAGAAATTTTTTCAATTTTATCTTCAGAAATTTTTTAAAGTTTAACATCCATAAATTTCGTCAATTTTACCGCTTGGGAATTTTTTCAATTTTCCATCTAGAAATGTTTTCAATTCTCTTGTCTAAAAGTTTAATATATTTCTGGGAAGTTAGAAGAAATGATCCATAATTTTTAAACCACGCTGAGACTTTTCAGATTTTCTTTTGAATTGTGTCTTCTGATAGTGATGCCACAGTTTATATAATCTGGATGTCTTCCTTGTGAAGTATAAAGTTTCAACAAAATTCTATTTTTTTTTTCAGGGTATTGTTAAAGTAGGAGGAGTGGATGCAGATCAACACAAAGGCTTAGCTGCTAGATTTTCTGTTCAAGGATTTCCGACAGTAAAAATTTTCGACAAAAAATCCAGCCCAACAGACTATCAAGGTGCCAGACAAGCCAGAGCTATTGTCGATCAAGCTTTAGAGACGTTGAAGAGCAAAGCATACACTCAGTTGACTGGGAAGCCCTCATCGGGAGGAAGTGGTGGAAAGACCAAGGTACAGACTCGAGGGTGCAATACATTAATTCTTTTTCAACACAAATTATAGCCTATCTACAACATTATATGCAACGCAAGAGTAAATCTCTAAGAGACTGAGCCAAGATATTCTTGAAAAAAGGTGAAATTGGAGAATTTTTTTGCCCTATTTTTGTTTGTCTAAAGATTTACTTCATCATGCTCTAATGCAATTCTTGTAAATATAGAAGGGTTTTGTAGAGCAAAAAAAGAGTAAAATTTGTGAAGCTAGGATGAATATGTTCAGATTGCGACATAAATCGATTTTACCTATTGTCGATGTTCTCCAATCTCTCTGTGCATTGTACATTGCTAAACTATTCCATCATGAATTAAAGACATTATCCTAGTATTAAATTGAATTAAGTTAAAATTAAAATTCTATCATAAGATGAGAAAAAAAGAAGGAGCTTACTGAAATTTCCAGAGTTATAACCTCTTCAACTAAAATTGTTGAGCACTGATTCCCTATATTTTTTGGTCTCTTTATCTTCTTTGCTTGAGATTAAAATTATCTATCTTTACCTGTCCACAGGGAAATCCTGCTGATGTGATAGAACTGACCGATGCCAATTTTGATAAGTTGGTACTCAACTCGGAAGATATCTGGCTCGTTGAATTTTATGCCCCATGGTGTGGACATTGCAAAAACCTTGCTCCTCACTGGGCTGATGCTGCTACACAGCTAAAGGGAAAGGTAAGAAACTTCATTTTGCAATCCTTTCCATTTAATTTTTTTGGAACTCTCTGCACTTGAGTTACAGGGATTAATGTAGCAAAACTTCTTGAACGTAAATTGAAACTTAACTTGCTCTAGTGAATTTTTAAATGTAGCTTTCTACTCAGATAATACCTTCCAGACTGACATATTTTTTGTCTGCTCTTTTTTTTTTCATAGAAATTCACCAAATAAATTTAACCTTCGTCTGAAATTCATCAAAACTAAAAACCGTGACTCAGTTCTCCTATTTTAATTAATTTTTATTCTCTCATTTTATTCCAATTCCCATAAGAATATTTACTTCAATTTAAAATGGAATGAAAGCTAAGCATTTCTTGACCTTTAGCAAAAGAAATTGATCAAAATGCATAATTTCTCGTCCACTGCCTCAATTTATTCACTTTAACCAGTTCATTCTGCTAGCAATGTTGGATGAACATCTTTAACCAATTGTATTCCTCTTGTTTTTTCCAGGTTAAATTAGGAGCTTTAGACGCAACTGTTCACCAGCGCAAAGCAAGTGAATATAATGTTAGAGGTTATCCATCGATCAAATATTTTGCTGGAGGTAAAAAAGACTCTTCCTCTGCTGAAGATTACAGCGGAGGCCGCACAGCCTCTGACATCGTAGCCTTTGCCCTTGAAAAACATGCAGAAAATGTTCCTGCGCCAGAACTTGTACAGGTGCCTACTTTAAATTTATTGAAAAGCACTATTTTGAAACATTTACTTTTTTTCCTTTTTCATTTCAATGTGCCTGTTTAGCACCCTTTGTCAACTGGGACAAATCCATGAGCATAACTATGGGTATTTGACTAAATATTTTTTTTTTTTACAAACTTGTGCCCAGAATTCAGCAATTTTTTGAATTCGGTTTTATCTTTCCACCTTTCATTTGATGCTAAAACATCACTTTTTGACAAAAAACGTAAACCCCTTCAAATGGTGATGTAATAGGGACAACTCAAAAAAAAATTATCCCTCAGCTGTTTTCACTAACTATGCTGTAGATCAAATAGTAATGAAAAAGGAAAGCAAAAATTATTTTCTCTCTGCTTTATTTTAAAATAAACCTTTTGTGCTTTTTTTTTATTTTTTTTATTTTTTGGTCTAAAAACTTTAATATGATAGAAAAGGCTGTTAAGTCTCTCTGCTATTTTTTCCTCTTTTGCTTCCTTAACGATGAAATTTTTTTAAGGAACTCTTTCTCACATAACTTGACTGTAATTTTTTGAAGTTCTGGCTTTCCGTTGAAGTTCCCAACATTTTTATATNCGCCCCCTCAGCAGGTAGCTTTTGCTACTTGTTTTTTATTTTTTTTATTTTTTGGTCTAAAAACTTTAATATGATAGAAAAGGCTGTTAAGTCTCTCTGCTATTTTTTCCTCTTTTGCTTCCTTAACGATGAAATTTTTTTAAGGAACTCTTTCTCACATAACTTGACTGTAATTTTTTGAAGTTCTGGCTTTCCGTTGAAGTTCCCAACATTTTTATATATTTGAGGTTTCATTTTTCATGGAATTGTCTCTAATGCAGTTTTCCCCTTACTTAACACTCCTCTCTACATGTAACTTTTTTCAAAGTCCTGCTTGTTAGTAATTCTGAAAACATTTGTGGCTCCTCTGATGGATCCGTGAGTAGTGAAAACTTAAAAACATTAATTAATTTCCTGTAACTATAGTATCTTGTTGAAGATAAAACTTTTGTATTACCAGGACAAAGTATCTCCAAGAAAAATTGTACCAAATAACAACGATCTTTTATCTGTTTTTTTTCTTTTCCTCAGGTCACAAGTACATCTGTAGTCAAGAGCGCTTGTGAAGAGCATCCTTTGTGCATTGTTGCTGTTTTGCCACACATATTGGACTGTCAGTCGGAGTGCCGTAATAATTACATCAAAATGTTAACAAGTTTAGGTGAAAAGTTCAAGAAGAAGCTCTGGGGGTAAGTTCTGATCCAGAATGCAATTTTTAAAAATTAAAGTCATTATGACAGTCTCATCTTTTATCGTGAATCTTTCATGATAAGATCAAATGAAAGCCAAAATGTAGCATTGAAGAGACTCTTGACATCAAAAGGAGAGAGGGAGTTGTCACTACAAAATCATCCAAATTAGGATTTTTTTATAAGTTTGAGAGCTCAAAGAAGAATTTCTGTGTTTCTGGTCTGTCAATATTTTGGAACTTTCCAATCTCTTGATCATTAGGCATCAAACACAAGGATGCAGAAAGTTTCTAGCCCTCGTATTTTTTAAATTTCTCTTTTCAATTTAACAAACCTTTTCCTCCAAAGTTTCTACAAGATAGCTTGTTTTGCTCCTTAAAAAAAAATTGGTTTGATGTTAGCTGTGGTGTTTAGAAAAACACGTAATTTTCACTCCAATTTTTCAGAAGTATGTTATTTTTACGCCAACGTGGGCACTGCGCGGGCTTCTCCATTTTCATACACAACCAATTTTTACCTGTTGGTTATACGGTCGAGAAGTTTCTGCCCCTGATTAAGTGGTGCATGATTTAACACTTGAATTTGCAAATTAAGTTTTTCACTGTGCAGTCTTGCTTTTTATGTAGTTCCAGCTTAATGTGGGGATTTTGAAAGATATTTTTAGGAAACTAACTATCGAAAAGCGCATACTGAATGATGAATTTCCTTGATGTTTCAGTGCTTGTTTACTTCCAGGAAGAATTCATTTTACAATTCAATAATCTTTCCTTTAAATGCAGTAGATAAATTAAATAGGAGGCAATGTCTCCTTTTAAAACACTTATCGATTTTCTTCTTTTTTTGGATTACAGGTGGGTTTGGTCGGAGGCTGGTGCTCAGCCAGACTTAGAGGCAGCATTAGATATTGGAGGATTTGGCTATCCTGCATTAGCCGTTTTAAATGCCAAAAAAATGAAGTATTCAATTCTTAGAGGCTCTTTCTCTGAATCGGGCATCTCAGAATTTCTCAGGTACATAATTCAATTTTTCCTTCTTATATATCTTGAAAAAGCCTAATCCTTGATAACTGAAAGAAATGCTCAGTCTTTACTGTCGTGATTACCAAATGCCTGATTTTGCCAAGGATTTTCTCTCAGTTTTAGCCCAGTCTAACAAAGCTGCATTATGTTCTCACTTCGTTACCATACAATCATTTTTTTAAAACCTGGATCCTAGCGCCAAAAATCTCAATATTGAGATATTGGTGCCTGGGTGGGACTTATTTATTCGGAACATTTTTTTACATAGCATGGTATGTAACATTCTCGCAACACTTTGATTTGCTATAATCGGAACGTACTCTGAGGAGGCTGTAGAGGTTGTTAAAGAGATTCTCACCTTTTTTTCCTGGATTGACCTTGCATAGAGTGCTCTGTGATAGTGGAAAAGTAACATGAGTATCAATTTTTCTAAAATATGTGCCCAGTGTTACCTCAAGCAAAAAACATACGTATGTACGTCCTATATTCCCATCAGAAAAATGAGATCAGATTTAGTAAAAACAGCCTGTGACCATGAAACTAAAATAACCATAATAAAGTACCCTAAACAAAGCCAAAAATTTGATGTGAAGGGCCAAAGCATTTTGAATCTTTTAAATGTTATGCTAAGAAAGACTGCTGCATATTTTTGTAGTGTTTTCGTTAATGCTTAATCTTTAACCCTATTTGATCTTGGGCCTTTTCAAAATTTTCACTTTTATTTTTTCAAGCCCAAGGATAGGGATTCTCTGTTTCCCCAATACCAGCTCTTGACCATTTCTGGTTTGATAATATTTGTTACGGAAAATAAATATTAATGGCTTAAGTTGAAATACGCATATCTCAGATTGTGAAATCTAAAGTCTCCACTCGTGTTTTATTTCTCTAACGGAAAACTAACCAACAGTTTCTATTTAAATATTCTGTGAACTTTTTCCTTCATTCTGATAAAATCACACCAAATTGTGAAGAAACGTTTTGGGTAATTTTCCTTGCAGATAATAAAACGTGATTTGGGAATTTTTAAAAATTGCAATGGAGTTAAGCATTTTTGCACTTAGCCGTTGATATATTTTTTTCCATTTATCGGAACAAAGACACTACAAAAAGAAATAAACATACAAACAAATATTTAAATAAATAGAGAGAAAGAGAGATAAAATTGCCCAAAATGACAGAAGAAACCCTACTTTTCTCAAAACTGTTATTTTAAGCCTAACAAATGTTTTGTTCTTTTTCACCCAGGGATTTGTCCTTCGGACGTGGAACAACCGCTCCTGTGAAAGGTGCGAAGCTCCCAGACATTAACTCAATAGACCCTTGGGATGGAAAAGATGGAGAACTACCCCCAGAAGAAGATATAGATCTTTCTGATGTCGAACTTGATGATATAAAACAAGATCTGTGAGCTGTTAATATCTCAGAGTAAATGTATCAAATGCCACTAATATTTGTCAAGTGCTTAACTCCCTGTTTTTGACCGTGTAAAAAGTTTGTGCATTTGTAACCTACTTCTTAGTTCAAACGTGTAAAAAATCAAGTCATTAGGTTTTTTTGTCTAGTAGAGCTCCCGTTTTAAGTCTAATTTGGACATCACCAACTGAACACGATCTATCTACATCAAGAGTTTTGAAATATGACCGATCTCTACACTGTGGTGCTCAAGCCTACATGTTCTTTTTTTTTCAGAATTCCCACCCAGATAGATCGGGTTTACTTAGTCTTGTCCATTCGTGATCTTAATATTATGTACCTCTCTTCACTTTTGTACTTGCTTTTGTCTATTTTCATACCGGAACTAATTCATATTTTAAGTTATTTGTAGAAAATTTATCCTGATAATGTGATGTTTTAATCCTTAGTTTAGTAAAAGCTTCCTTCATTCCTACAAAGACCATTTTCAAAGGAATTTAGAAGCAATGCAGACTGTATGTAAGTGATCGTACTTTTTCGCGTATCCTAAGCTTGCCATCAACATTATTTTTTCTTTTCGGATCGTTTTTATTTCCAGTAACTTACTTGAGAACGAAGTTGAGGTGTATTGTCAATTAAATTTGAGTATCTGTGTTTGCCTTAATGGGATCTATTCTCATCAGTTCATTTTACGTTGATCAGATCGAATTTTCAAAAATTTTACAGCAGAGGAACTTTTGTTAAGTTTTACCTCTCTAAAGAAATATTTTTCGCCCAACATTCAATTACTATATCATTAGGCTCTAGTTATTTTCTTTTTTTAAATACTCTTCCCACCTAATGATTGATTCAATTTGTTTCCAAAAGGGTAAGGCAATGTCTTCCACAAAAATTGTCCGTAGCAACGAAAAACTATCTCTCCGAGCTTAAAAGCATTTGTCTTGTATAATGTATCAGTCGTTTGGAAAATAGTTTTCTTAGGATATTTGTGTATGGTTCTATTTTCTTTTTTTCTGTACTCTGCAATCACTCTGTAATCTTCTCTCACTGCATCATAAAATCTTAATTAGATCCAGATGTGTTTTAGCATTTGTAGAATGAATTTTACAATCCAATGATTCATTTAGAGTCTATCTGTGATTTTTTCTTTCTTTGATTGTATCATTCTCATTTGTATTACTGTCAAGTAACTATGTCTACATTCAACTTTTCAATCAGAAGGTCTCATCAAATGTTTCATTTAAGAAAATAGTACCGAAAAATGTCTTCACTTATTTTCCGTGGAAGTGCATCACAACTTTTTGAAATTTTGTATATGGACATTCTTACTTTCGATTGTGTACAAAACAAATTTACTGATTAAATTTTATTTGATTTTCAAAACTTCCCTCTCTTTGTCAGCTTTTCTTTACAACGTAAATTCATTTACCTTTCATTTATCTCTGTGGCAATGATTTAGGGATGAAGGCCATTTCTGCCCCTTCAGCTTAAAAATTTAGGTAAATGTGCTGCCTCTCTCGGAGGTCAAGGAGTATCAAATGTATTTTTCTTTTTCTGAAACTGTGGTGACCGATCAAAATGGACCATCAACTTCCTGTGAGGATGCAAGTGTACCCATGTTCTAGCGACAATGTTCAATTGGACGTATTTCTATCAAACAGAACTATGCGCATTAAGACATGAGCCCTGATACCCATAAGAAAACACGCATAACAGGGCTCACGTCATAAAGCACATAGTTTCGTTTGATAGAAATACGTCCAATTAATGTGCAAAGTCTATGAAATTAAAGGGAGAGGAAAAAGACCTTTTTTTGGAGTAAAATTACAAAAAATTTTATTGTAAGGAAAAAGTGAAAAATCCACTTAGGAATGAGATTATTGATGCTTGTAATACTATTTGAATCGGAAGAAATTCATGGGTGAGAAAAAATTTGCTTTCTCAGGCTGGCTAGACACCAAAACAGTTGCGTCTGCCTACATAGGTACATCAGATCTTCTTGAAAGGCACTTAAAATAAGAGTTATGGTAAAAACTCGATGATCCGTAATTAAATAATTCAAATCAAAGATATTATTTTATTTTATTATTATTGGACCTCACCTCGTGTTTCCAGTTAGTTTGGATGATCGAGTTTCTATTTATTACATCTATTAATTCCTGGAAAAATCTTGTAAAAAATTACTCTTAATTGTCATCAAATGCCTAGTCAATTGTAGGATAAATCGATTATTGGTCGATATGATTCAAGACGAAAATAAGAACTTAAAGAGAAACATGAGTACATGGTTTCTTAATATATAAACCGGAGTAAAACAAAGTCGGCAAAATCACTTGCTGGTAGCAATAGAATGCTTATACAACTCAGTTTTAGAGATGTAAAAAAGTTGTTTTCTCTAGAACATTGCGACAGTTCATGATGTAAAAGGTAAGGTTAAACATAATGTTCTATGAGAAAATTTCATCTTATGAAAATAAAACAAAGATTATTTTCTCAGCTTTAAGCATATAAAGATGATGACATAGATTCACTTGCTATAGTAATGGAGCAAATAATAATACTTCGTTTCTCCGTTAAAAAAAACATGATTTCTTCCAGAACAAAACGATTGTTCAAGACATAAAAAATAAATTCAAACGCAACGTTTCTACAAAAAGATGCTATAAAAAATAAAACACTCTTCAACTTCTTACCCTACAAATACAGTAAAAAATATCACAGTAAAATCTTAAAAGCAAAAGCAAATACATTTACGGTCATCTTAGACTTTAAATTCAAGATAAGACCTTTGAAATTCTGACTGAGCTTAACCTAAGAGTGAACTATAACTAATTTTTTATTGTACAGTTTCATGAATCCATTGCTTAATAAATCGGTGGAAATTAAGTTTATTTAATGAAAGTAATTGCGATTGATCATCACACTTTTCAAGGTGCCAGGCCCAAATTTTGTTGGTAGGTTAGCAGTCGACCACAAGCTGAGGCAAGAATGTTGACTTCGTTATATGATTCCTGATTGATAGTCTGAACCGATGAAGAACTAGGGATAGCTAAAGCCTGCTGTAAAAAAGCTCCACTTGCGTACAGCATGAGTTGAGCGTATATTTTTCCCAACTTTAAGCCAAAATTAGCGGTTACGTTTTGAAACTTACAGTTGACTGAAGCCCAATAAAATTTGGGCCTAGGTTAGTGATTTTATTGTTTTTAAGTGTTTTAAAGTGTATTCCTCTGATGAAATACAAAATGAATTTTTCATGAGGAGAGTTACTTAGCTTATTACTGTAGGAAGGTTTACTTAATGTGCCCCAAGTTTTAAGTAGACACCATAAAAACTTAATTTAAAGTAAGACTACATGACAAACGCACTTTAAATAATACAGAAACAAAAGAAATTTTTTTTAAAAAAACAGGAATTACGATTGAAAAAGCAAAAAAAAAAGACCTAACCCTTGTGCAGTCAATAATTAGAGTGTTTATCTTTATATGCAGTTCAAAACTTTCTGCTTCCATGGAAAAATGCGATTGCAAAATTGTGATTGCCATTTAAACAATCAAGAACATTTAAAAAAAAAAAAACTTGTAAAAACTGATCGACATTAATTAGAACCAAAAATAAGAGTTGAGTAAAAAATATAAGTATTTCGCGTTAAAATTATGAGATTCTTTAAGTTAGAAAAACGTGCATCTGAGGTTTGCAGTGCTGCTCTACAAAAAATGTCTTTTTCAGCCTTTAAGTTTCAGATTCACAGCGGATCAAGTAAATATCTAATTATGAAAGCAACAAAATTTGAAAGTTTTCTACAATTGTGCCATCACGGTCGAAGTGATGAACATTAGGTAGGACTGTTGATGGTGGAATTGCACAATAATAAAAAAATCCAAACAAGAGAAAAGCCATTGTGACCAACATGGCAGTGGATATTTTGAACAAAATACGAACAAAATTTAAACTCATTGCAGCCAATTTATAAACAAGGAGGCACACAAAAGTTATGTTGCTGGCATATAACAAACACAGTCTAAAACGCAATCTAGCTAAGATGGTTCAGCTTCCACAAACACATACCTTGACAGGCCCGCCTGAAACTCAGCATCCATCTCTTTCTTACTGCATGACCTAATTACAACAAAAACTTGAAGACAACGACTTCAGTGCGTTTTTAAAAGGAAAACAAGACTGGTCTTGTTGAGATGAACTCTGCTTATCGCTTGTACCTTGAGATTGTTTTAGTGTATACCACTGACACAGCTTTCATGTGCTTCCTCTCTCTCTCTTGACACTTTATGGAATGTTAAAATAATTCCTTTAAAAACTTCCCTGGATACTATTTAGATATAGCTGAGCACTTAAAATCATAGTGTAAATTCTTTTAATACGGCTTGAATTAGAACAAACAAGGCTAAAAGAAACCAACCCTTGTTTTTCATAATGAGTTAGGTACTATTCTAGATAATAAGCCTGCTAGTAACTTCACAGAAGTACCTTCACCACATCAAAATTGTATCAAAACAGAATATTATAAGCAAAATCTCAGGATACAACTTTTTTACATTGAAATAAAAACTGAATGAGTTGCTAACTCTCACAGAAGATTAATACCTTCTTTTGTTCATGGGAATGAATCCAGAATGGGTGAGTTCCTAACTGCATGACTAAATCGGAATGGTACAACTATTACGAGTCTGTTTGTATACAGTGCAAACTCTTATAACTATCTTAACTTTCATGTTGGATCTCTTGAAGTTTCAACAATGATATAACTTGGAGGATACATATATATATTCATGCATTAAAAAATTTTCAAGTTTTCTCTGTGACAGTCGAAATGAAATTAAGATATCGTGTATTTTTTTCTACAATAAATATGTGGGTGAATAAATCAGAGAGGGCAGAAAAAGGCTTGGGGGTCTGCATTTCCACAAACTCCAAGATAATGAGATTTTTTGGGAGTAAAGTCCACGCCAAATAAGTGTACGTACTTATAGTGTGCAACAGGATATCAGCTGTCTTTCATAACGCATTGAAAACAAATACAAGAATAAAAATGACTGTATATTCTATTACACTCTACAAGTGCATACATTTATTGGGTGTGGACTCTATGACCCGTGCGGCTAGGAATGCTTCGTACACACAATAGGTAATGTAGGACTCACCTACCTTCTTTACATTCAAAATAAACTCAAATGTTTCTGAGCTTTTGTTCTGAATTCCAAAATCTTGGAAATAAATAAATGTGTCATGCTAGAAGAACCCCTGCCTGAGGGGTTGTTACAAATATAATACTCAATGTCATTATTGTGACATTCATTCTCGATCCAGCCTCCGCATTCAGGAGAGTAATTTCCAAGATTCAGCCAACATAGGAGCCTGTGAAGAGAGGCTTGCCTAGGAGACTGAGACTGGTCCGACAATATTTACAGAAGTATCTAGCGAGTTTTTGAAACCTCTGCTGCAATTCTATGGATTATAGATTATTCTCACTGTTCAGGGTGTCGCGGACACTTCCATCACGTCATACTTTCTCTCCTTCTTGCATAAGATAGGATAAAATATCATAGCGTAGTACACGAAAACTCCGGATAAAATTGCTCCTAGAATCAATCCTATGAGGGCCCACGCTGAAATTCCAGAACCCTTAGATTTCTTCGGAGGGACATCTGCAAAAATTATAAGATCATTAGATAATGCAGCACACACTGACCTATAAGCATGGACTGAACTAAAGGGGCATGTAATCTACTTGGCTCCTTTCAAAAAGTGTAAGAGATTTTGTGAAATAAGTGCACGAAATTTTTGCCACCTTTAAAGATTGTGTAATTTTTTGGATAAGAATTCCTGAACTCATTATCGCACCTCCTCTTTTTTCTGTGCCCCCAAGGCCTCATTCGTGGCATGTCTATCTATTCCCTCCCCTGTCCCTTGGAATTCCCTTGATGAAATGCCTCCATGTGCCTTCACACGCGAAAAATTCCTGGTTCCGCTCATGTTTGCAACGAAGGATAGCAATACCATAATTTTGGTGAAATTCACTTACAGTATAGAGTGGATTAAAATATTTCATTCCACAGAATGGGAAAGGACAAATTTACAGCTTCACAACATTTCCTCAAAAGAGACCTGTAGTCTACAATAGACCATTGGACATGGTGCAAATTTTAACATTTTGATACTGATTATCATATCAAAATTTCATAAAGAACACGATTTGTGCAACGAAAATTATTGAAAGTAACTTCTGATCAAGATATAAACGTTGTTCAAAGCATTAATTCCAACTTCCTGCTCATGAAAAAAAACCCTAATCTACTTGAATTAAATCGCACACTAAACATTAGAGTAAGTAACTATTTTTGGAGCCTAAAAATATGGCAACCTCAATCTCACCATTTCAGCTCAGCTATTACACTTTGAACATCAGAGGCAGAGAGGGAACATTGCTCATTTAAGATGTTTGCCAAAACTGTTGTTGCAATATTTGATTCACGTATACTCTGGTTTCTTGCGAGTGGGGAATTCAAAATTTCTGTAACCATATAAAAACTTCAATATTTTAATTAGGAGTTACTTTCAGCAATTTTTGTTGACTGAATTGTCTTTAGCATCAAATTTTGTTGAGAAAACATCTATCAGAATGCTGGAATTTGTATCTTCTGGTGGTTCATTAGAAACAAAGGAATAAACATGCCTATAGTCTCCAAGATGTTAACACGGGGGGAAAAAAGCTTATGTAGGTAAAAGTATTTCGAAAATTACCTCTGCCTTTTAGACTTTTAGGTGGAACTGAATCCGAGAGACCCCACCCGCCATTTAAGTTCTGGTGAAACTCCATTTCCTTAGTGTTTTCAGCTTTGTATGTCCTCACATTTGACCTTCCATTTGATGTATTTTTGCCAGGGCCGCCAAGACATTCAGTCAGACCAACACAAACTATGAAAAAAAGTTATGACATCATTAGATCAATTTATAGGTACATTGAGAAGAAAATAGAAAGCTTCTGTGCTTGCCCTGATGAGAACAAAAAACATTATGCATTATCACAGAAACGTGACATTACCCTGCTGTTGTTCATGAACACTACATTTAACTGAGATGATGCACGGTCTATGTGATTCAATGTTTTTGCATATATTGCATCGGTTATGTTAAAATCTTGGCTGATTCTGAACTCATGGCCAAAAAAAGACAACAGCCCCTGCGCATGAGCCTAAAAATCATTCTAAACCAAAAACTTGGTAAAATTCAAAGAAGTTTATGGCATTATCAACGCAATATATCGCACGCCAGTTCGACTGGGTCAGAGGCCGTGACAGATCACCCTCAGGATTCCTACGACTTACACCTGCGTTTGGCTAGAGTAAAAACGGCTAAATTACAACTAATCATGTTCCACTGCGGTCCATTTAGGAGAAATAATTAAAAGTTGATCTATTCAAGAATCCTAACCTATAGCTAGCGATTCATGACAATTCACGACTAATTACGATACGGTAGGTAAACCGTGCTCTTCTGTGAAACTCTCAGTTTATAGCCTGGAAAGTCTCATTTATCTACGTTGATTAGCAACTTATCTGAATGGAATCACATGAATTACTCAGAACTGTTCGGTTACTGAAGCGAGTTCGGTAGATTCATTTACTGGTAGGAGTAAGTAGGTATCAGTACTTACGTAGAAAAAAAGCAACAAGACAAAAACTATGCCGTATAAACATGGTAGTGGAGTGTGCAAACAATATCCTACGAGATGAGGTCTTTGCAAAGAAAGAAAATTAAGCGTAAACAGAGAGGACCTGAGAGAATTAACAAATTACATTAACTGCAATTGAGTGAGCAAACAAGAAAGGGAACACGAGAGATTCGAGATGAGAGAATACTGTATTCTTCAATGAAACTCTGAATCTCAAGCTACTTGAACAATAAAAGGCACTGCTGAAACACACTTAAGTTACTGCAAAATTAGTTGAAAAAGATTCGGGATTCCGCGAATTCGTGAAAAGCACATTGAGCATGAGCATGAGCATTTGAGACGCGAGAAATTCCTTCCTGTTTACATTACGCTGCAGTGTTGTCAGATTGTCTCACCACATCATTGACGTGTAAATACAGTTGAATTTAGAATTCTTATATTTGGCAACGCGTATAGAAAAAATGTGGTCCACTCATATGATCCCGGGAAATTTGAATTAAGCATACGTATTACACACAAATTATGTACCTACACATCGCACCTTTTCGGAATTTTTGGAATCAAGAGGAACTTAGGAACAGCAAATTGACTCTGTGGAGCTTCCGAACCACGTTTCTTCGTTGCGGTATTTTATTTCCGCTCCTATTTAATTCTTTCGAAAGAGAAAAATCAACATCATTCCTTAGAATTTTCACAGGATTTTCTTTGCTTTGAAAAGAAACATCATGGCGTAGAGTATTCAATAATTCCCGTGGAGAAGTTTTCCACTTGAAAATTAAAGTTATGAGAGGAAATCTACAACGTATCAAACCGAAAAATACAGGGTTTGGGAGTTCACTATGTTCTAACAGACTAGAGTGCTCATTTACAACTAGTTCAATAATCAACTGCCAGAGGCTCCATCGAAGTGTGCAAATAGCGCATTTCTGACGATTTTTGTACTGACTGTAGATTGGAGTGCAAATGAAATTATAAATAAGGTACAAGGCTCGTTTTTACCTACATAATGCGGTTTCTTCTTTTCCATTGAATATATTTGACGGCTCTTTACAATTTCTTGACATACGTCCTCCGATCTATTACCACTGATTCTCCCAAAAACCCTTTCTTTTTTTTCACACTGTAGAATTTTATTGCCTTGTCATGGCTACATTAAACAATAATGTATAAAACAAAAAACCGGTGGAGATTTGTACTCTCTCAATTAGAGATACGCATCTTTCAACTGAGGCCCTCTTGAAATCCATAATAGCTAATGAATGATAGTTGCCCTTTCTGCGAAAATACTTCTATGATATTGTCGAATAATAGGAAAAATAAAGTCTTATTACTTGTTTTCCACGATGACTCTCCCATCCAAAAAAGAAGGAAAAATTTTATTTTTGCACTTGTAAAAAAAAAATGTATGAGGATGAAATGGACTAAATTAATTTAAAGGGGGCCTTTAGGAACCCTCCTGTAGAAAGCAACTTTTGGTTTAATTACCAAAATCCTTGCAAAGTTAGCAGTGTGGAACTATCGAAAAATTTCAATCTTTGAATCAAATGCACACTTAATATCTTAATGCTGTGGTACACCAAAACTGACAATGTTGTGTCTTTGGTCAGGAACTTAAGTAAGCCTATATCACTGCTGCTACAACAAGAATTTGGGAAGCCATCATATAACAAATAATACTCGTCATTTTCCGGTCAAAGTGTCACAAATGCCTTTCACGTTACGCTTAGATGCTACATATGTTGCCAGACATCTCAATATTGTTCTAATTTTTTCTTGAGAACTTTTGCACTTAGGTACTGTCATGAAAATTTCAGGATTTCATCTTGATGACAAAAAAATATTAGGTACAATTTTCTAGTAATTCTGTTCATTCTTTTTCCCGTAAAATATTGGACAAATTTGGCGACAAAGTGCTCAAGCTAAAATGGCGCTCGTGATATTTTGGCCGAAAGGTGATTACTTACTTTCAGAATGATCTGCACATCATGAACTCAAAAGGGAACCTGAGAAAAGAACAACCAGGCTTAAAATTAAATTAATAAATATATTGATTCACAGATTCTTAATTTTTGAAAGTACAGTTTCATTGGATGAAAAAAAAATGGGCTTAACAACAAATAAACACGTATCTAAGATACAATTTATAATAAATGGAACTTCACATCTAATGTGAGACAGAAAGTTGTATCTTCATGGATTGTAAAACAATTAAAACAGGAGGCGCACATAAACGACGATGGGGTAAGGTTTATAAAACCACACAATTAAAAAAGTGATGAAATGAAGTTATTGCAGGCGTTCAATCCTTGGTCTGGATGTACTTGATCAGATCTATGACTCTGCTGGAGTAACCATACTCGTTATCGTACCTGAAAATGAAAAATTTGATCGGATGTAGAAAAAACTTCTGCTGAATAAAGCAATGTGATCATCAATTACAGGAAAAAATAAGAGTTTGCTAATCTCAGTGGATACAATGGAGATGTTGCATGTGTGAGGAATTTGCGATTTGACTGTTGATTCTCATGTATAAGTTCGCGAGAAACATGATGGTGTCACTGGTTTTCTCTAAACTCAACTCCCAAGCTCAAAAAAAGCTCTCATGTTGAGGCCAAAATGGAGGGGATATCCCACGCTATCCTGAGAGTCCCCATCTACATCAAGACAAACTCTCCATGCGAAGATAGGGAGAAAATACATTAGCAGTGATGCCGTGTTTTCAGTTTTAGAGTCCACAAATAAAGTGGCAGCCCTGTCAATGTATTTGCTCCCTATCTTTGCATGGAAAGTTTGTCTTGATGTAGAGGTGGACTCTCAGGGTAGGGTGGGATATCCCCTCCGTTTTGGCCTCAACTTGAGAGCTTTTTTTGAGCTTGGGAGTTGATTTCAGAGAAAACCAGTGGCACCATCGTGTTTCTCGCGAACTTATACATAAGAATCAACAGTCAAATCGCAAATTCCTCACACATGCAACATCTCCATTCTCTGTCATTACCTTGTATATTTAGGCTAAACTTGAGATAATGGGCCTGTTGCAAACTTTTGCTAGAGCAAAACTAAGAGTTGTTTCTTATAGATAATGCCTCAAAAATCACGATGAGCGCATCGGCAAACTCTGAAATGCACTCATAACTTCACAAACTGCGTAAGAAATTTGCGGTTTTTTGAGCTTCCCGCTTCAAAAACGATACTACGGTACAGGTGAACATTTTGTAAGAGGAGTCGTTCCATCGTCGGCAATAATCATCATAGCCGACGCCAATCCGCCAAAACACGTTTGATGGGACGAGATAACACCTGAACTGGATTAGACCAGATAACAATCGGTGTGTTAACGTTCATATTTTCCACGCCCGAATTGATTGACCTTGAACTCTCCTTGAATTACGCGCGGAACTGCGTGCAAGCGTCGGCCATGATGAATATCGCCGACGATGGAGCGACTCCTCTAACAAAATGTTCACCTATGCCGTAGTATCGTTTTTGAAGCGGGAAGCTTAAAAAAACGCAAATTTCTTACGCAGATTGTGAAGTTATGAGTGCATTTCAGAGTTTGCCGATGCGCTCATCGTGATTTTTGAGGCATTATCTATAAGAAACAACTCTTATTTTTGCTCTAGCAAAAGTTTGCAACAGGCCCATTCCCGACTCATGGGGGTCAAAGTGAAAAAAGCCACGGTTTCTAGCTCATTTTAGAACTGACCCTAAAGTTCTCAAATAATTCAAGTTTTAAATTATTTTAAATCATTCTTCTGAAAGGAACTCCTTTGGAGAAAGTTAGAAGAAAGAGATAGAAGTTAAAATGGTTCAACATTTCTACAAGAGGCTCAGAAGATTTGTATTTTCTGTACAATTTTTTTTCCAAGTGAGATTTGTAGTTGTATTTTCTCGATTTTCGCCAGATATCGAAAAGAAGCCTTTAAATTTCATTGACCTGGCAATAACAAAAAATAACAAAAAATTGAATATAAACTCCCCCAGAAAACTGGAAAGATTAATTTTTGGAATGAAGAGGCTGAGGCTTATAAAGATATTTCTAAAAATGACAAGTATCTTACCAAGAGATAAGTTTCACGAATTTGTTGTTAAGAGAGATTCCAGCCTTGGCGTCAAAGATGGAGGACTGGGTGTCACCGATGAAATCAGAGGATACAACATCATCCTCGGTGTAACCTAAGATACCCTTCAGTGGACCCTCAGCTGCGGCCTTGACCTTAGCTTTGATTTCATCGTAGGTTGCATCTTTGCCCAATCTAAAACAAAAATTAAATCAATTACTTACTAAGGACTCAAGAGCTGCTTTCGGGCACACCCTCATTGATATTCACTTGAGAGTGAGTAACTTTTATCTGCTACTTCCTTATCTACCAACGACTTCAGGGACTTGAGATTTGATTCAAGTGCAAGACATTGCATTGGGGCAATTGAATTCGCACATCAAGTGGAATAAGCAGATTGTTTTTTAAAAGGAGAGGGGAAACAAACCAAAAAAGAAAAACCCTGAGAGTGAGGCAAATTGGCTTTTCTATAAAAGCAGAAGAAAACGTGAAATGTGTCTAAATATAATTTTGAATTTTTTGAGTTTTATTATTTTATTTTGTATTAAATTTTTGAGTAAGGTTTGAGATATGTAGAGACTTAATTGTAAAAAATTGTAACATTTTTTTCCAGATGTAGAGGGACTTGATTTTAAAAGAATGAAGCATTTTCAATGATGGCTTCTTAGAACAAAGTGAAATTTCTGTTAATTTATCTGAAAAACTATGAACAGGTATTTTAGTGTATGTGCACTATTGACATGAGAAAAAGCGAGTCTCTCTGCATCTGGGTACTTTTAACCACTGTTTCTCAATCAAGTTCCTTGCTGAGAGCTCTGTCACAAAGGACAGCAATATACTAACTTTTTACAAAGTTAAAATGATTTTGGCTCAATGGACTGAGTTTTTGAGGGTATGAGAGAGAATATTATTGCTTCTCAAGAATACGAATGCCTTTTTTCTCACACAAAAATAGGTAAGCACATAATTTATTTTCAATTAACCAAACGGATGTGCTGTGGTTAGATTGAGAAGATATTATTGAAAAAACTTACCGAACTGTCAAGTCAACGACTGAGACATTGGCGACAGGAACACGGAAAGCCATACCAGTGAGTTTTCCATTCAAAGAGGGAATGACTTTTCCTACAGCTTTGGCTGCACCAGTGGCAGCTGGAATGATGTTTTGGGCAGCACCTCTGCCATCACGCCATAACTAAAATAAAAGAGGGTTGAATGTGATGACATGATAAAAAATTGACATTTACATAATGAGAATAATATACATTTTTTTTTAAAAAATTGGTGAGCCACACATTGGCTTTTAGGTTCTACAGTGCCAATTAGTGTTGAGAAATGTTTTCTATTTCCAGGATATTCCATGTGTTACAACAAAAGAAGGGATTTACAGGGTAAAGAAACTTGATAGCATCTCAGTGGGCTATGTTCTTCGGGTGACTCAACATGAGGCAATTTCACTTGAAGAATGAAGTCTTCAAAGGGCTGAGCCAGGACTGATTGCCAATTGAAGATACAAGCGTATAGTATCATTGAATGTGAAGTGTAATCTTCAAATGTATCGACTTGCGAATTTTACACCAAGATAGCCTTCCTTGTCTTCTTTTCAGCAATGTGTCACAGCTGAGGGATTGTCATTAGAAAATTTTGCGCATCGTTTTTCCCAGGAGGGTTAACAATTTAAAAGAGAAAGAGGTGGGGGGAGATATCATAACATTTGGGATGAAAAACATGATCCATCATTTGCAATTTTCCAAAAAATTGTGCCTTTCCATAAAACATCCAAAATAGCACAGAATTTTCCTCCCTCTAAAAGATATTTACTAAGTCCTGTGCAGGTTACTTAGGTTTCATCAAGATAATGGATCATAACATCTCAACGCAAGTGTAAGTTCCAGCAGAAAGGTGACACAATCTTGAACTGCAGTGAATCTTTACACTTAAGTATTAGTCGAATAAAAACCTGAGACCCTTACCAATTTTATTATAATCTCTTTTTGTTGATAGACAAACTTAAGTAACTTACTTTTCCAGATGGGCCATCAACAGTCTTTTGTGTGGCGGTTGTGGCGTGAACAGTGGTCATCAGACCCTCAACAATTTCAAAGTTGTCGTGGATGACCTTGGCGAGAGGAGCCAAGCAGTTGGTTGTGCATGATGCATTGGAAATGACTTTGTAAGAGGGGTCGTATGCTTCAAGGTTGACACCGACGACGAACATGGGTGCGTCAGCACTTGGGGCAGAGATGATGACTTTCTTGGCACCACCTTCCAAGTGAGCCTGGAAGCAAAAAAGACTCAATGAATACAAATTACAAGTTGTGATACCTACGGGTCGTTTTCAGCTAAAGGGACAAAAATTTGTGGCCACTTTTTGTTCTGTATCATATTTGTTTATTTTTTAATTCCGAGGATCCATTAACTCGGTTGTCCTAAAAATCTTCTGAAAGGAAAAACCTCATTGAGTTAAATGCTGTTACTTGCAGTAAGCTATTATCAAAATTTACATTGGTGTGTCAAAAATGAACGACTGGTAAGTAAGACTTATTAATTGACTGGTGGATTTAAATGGGAGAAGACATTTTTTAAGTGGGAATGAACTGAGTGTTGCATAATTCATTGTATGGAAGGAACCGAGTCTAATCTATTCCAAACAAAAACTAGTTCCAAAGCCAAACTGCATTCACCTGCCTTGACATTGGACTTGACTCTAGCACACGCTGGTTTGGCTCATAGACTCAACTACAGCCTTCACCTTGACAAGGTTAAATATCAAACAAACAGCCGCTCTATTTTTCCTCCTTCTTCTTTCTTCTCCTAACAATGATAAGACTGACTTAGAGCTTCTCTCTTTCACTGCTCAAATCTCATGAATATCCAAGCACTGAATTAGTGTTGTAATTTTTTTCATAGATTCACTTGTTATTCACTACCTACTTACACTTAAATTTACACAAATTACATTGCTTGTGAAGGAGAACCGAAAATTCATATCCAGAAAATGGTGTGTTCTCGGGTATTTGCCTAATTAAGGTTGGTTTTATAGGAAGAGAGGGGTAACTATTATTTTAAATGATGACAACCATTTTTTGGGGTAAAATTTCCCTCCTGAACATTGCTGCTTGTATGAAAGCCACATAAGTATCCTCAAAAATGGTAACACTGTTTCTGGGTTAATTCTACTACTTAAAACTCCTATTCATATAAGATTAGATAATTATACAAAAAATGGCCACAAAGTCATCAAGAAGCTCATTTGCTTGAAACTGCTTCTTTTACCCACATCAAATAAATAACTCGTTGAGTATATTTGTTGAGAAATAATATTTTAAAAAATGTTTATTCTCACTGGTGCCTTTTTAAATTATTTTCTTGCTCTCAATCTTTCCAACCTTTTCCACATTATTAAATACTTGCTTTTCTTTTAATGAATTGATTTTATTAGAAGCCATCTTTTATACGAGAGAACTGGCTATTACATTTTAGCCTGATGATTTACATGAGCTCATTTCCTGAATTTCATTCAGTTCAATTCTTATTATTGTTATTGAAATTTTAAAGTGGAGAGATGATCCAGACAACCAACTTAGGCTTACTTCAATAAAAGTCATTGAAAACTTACGGAGGCCTTGTCGATGGTTGTGAACACACCAGTGGATTCTACAACGTATTCGGCACCAGCCTTGCTCCATGGAATGGCCTTGGGGTCACGTTCAGAGAAAACGTGGATTTTGTTTCCTGTAATGGACGTGAAAATTACAGTGAGAGAAAAGGGAGAGGCAAATGAGAAATAATACAAAATAGGGCAAAGTGATGCTTTTTTCCTGACGTGAGTTTAATAAGTATTCTTTTGAATTGGAAGTGCCGAGTGCAAAGGACCTACAGAACAGATTGCAATTTTTCATCATTTTAATTTCCTGATCGTGATAATTCAGAGAATTTATCTGAAGACTTTTTTGTGACATGTTTAACAATATTTAAAAGGAAATAATCCACTCAGCAGTTGTGATATATTTATGCTGGATGGAAAAAAACTGAGTTTGCAAACAGCAATGTGTGCTATCTGAGATGGAAACACAGAATAATGTTGGTCTGAACGATGGAAAGCTTTTCTTACCGTTGACAATCAAGAAGTCTCCCTCAGCCTTGACCTCACCCTTGAAGCGTCCGTGGGTGGAATCATACTTGAACAAGTAGATCATGTAGTCTAGACCAATGAAGGGGTCATTGATGGCAACAACCTGAAAGAACAGTTAAAATTATCAATATTCTGTTGCAAGTAAATTACTAAAAAAATTGTTTTGCTCGTAATAGTTGAATTACTTTTAGTGAATACTTAAAAGTACCGCTAGTGAAGTGTTACTACATAGACCTCCTCCAGTATAGAGCTGAAAAGATTACTTTGAAGTTGTTTTTGGTTTTTAATAACTTTCATAATGTACTTAGGTCTTTTTCCCTGCTTAAATCCTCCTATTGAGAACTGTAGAAAGTATTAAATTACTTCAGTAGCATGCATAATTTCTATCTAAAATATTAAAATTCAGTTTCTTCTGGAAAATCATTACTTCTTGTGCTATACACACACAAATTGATAACGATTGTGCTGATCTGTTCTCCCAAAAGCCTGTAAGCTTGTGAATTAACTGTCATCCTTCTAATAAAATTATTTGTATGAATAGAAAACATACGAGCTGACAGTATTTTTCTCAAATAAAGTAAAGGATCCACTTTGAAGTTGAAGATTCAAGAGACAAAATCTAAGAGAGAAGAAAGTACCTTGGCTCCACGTTCCAAGGAGGCTCTCAAGACCAAACGACCAATACGGCCAAATCCGTTGATTCCAATGTTAGACATGTTGATTTAGAGTAATTCTGAAAGAATAACCAGTACAGAAAATTTAGTAAAAAATTCAAGGATCAAGGAAATTGCAAAGGTTTTCAAGCCTAAGAATACCGTAAAATGAGGCAACTCTAGGTCATGCTGTTAGTAAAAAAGTGTTTCATTGAGGCAAAAAAGTCTTTTGATGATGCATTATTGCATAATTTTTCAGGCTTTCAGTCATAGCAGTAAAATTTTCTTTAATCTTGAATAATACATTCTTATCAGCAGGTAATCAAGGTACATTACGTTGTTGATCGATATCAATAAGCATGTCAGTGTTCCAAATGAGGGCAGGGCACCAAAACTTGAAAAATTAATTTGTGATTCTTCAGGTAGTTCATAAGTTCGCAAGCAGCATTTCTGAATCCACTATGAAAACATCAACAACGCCCCCCTTCCTCCACACTTGGTAAAGATAGGAGCAATTCTCGTGATAATAATAATAGGGAAGGATGAAAAGGTGATGTAACTGATCATAGAATTTTCCTAAAAGAGGATCCCTCATAACTTTTCATTGTTAAAATGGACTTAACCACTTTTTTTGCAATTCATTTCACCCCTAGGTACTATTCATGGACTCCAGATTCCCCCCCCCCCTCCTCTCCATCCCTGCTCGATAACCAGCTTGCTAAGGTAGCTCCAGCATGAGCCGATCAATGTAAGTTCGCCTGACCAGGCATTGAACCCAAGATCCCCTGATAATGGGGCCAACAGCAACACGGCATTGGCAATGAACATCAGAAAAATTGGAGAGACTTTTTTCTAATCTCTACCTTGGGTGGATAATAAAATGCAGTTGATAAGGGAGAGATTTCAGTATCTCTCACTGGTTGGTTTGATTTAAGCACGGCATCTGTTATCAGCAGAAATGGAGGGCAAACATGTTATCACAGGATTGAGAGGAGTAAAAATAGTGGAGATGGTGCACCTTTCGGATGCACGATCTGTTCTTATCTTTTATTTAGAGTTCACACTTGTCTACTTGTCCAAAATTAATACAAGAGGAATATCTAATATTTGACAGCTACCCTCTATGGAAGTAACCGATGTACCTGGGCAACACATTTTAGAAGGTCAACTCTCTTCTTCCTAGAAATAAAGTTGGGACTTACAAATGTTTTGACAGTAGCCATTCACTATTTTTATCCTTGTTGAAGGATGTTCGATAATAGTGAACCACTTTACGCAGGCAAATGCAGCCATGGTAGGTAAATAAAAAATTGACTTAACTAAACCAAATCTCATAATCATCACCTCTCAAGTTCAGGAATCCATTGTGAAAAAGATTATCATACATTTGGACGAAGGAGATAGGTACCGATGATGAAAGTACCGAACTACCTATTTCCATCTGCAACTTGGCGAACCTCTTCAACCAGTTAGTAGAGTGTTTATTTCCTTCATTCTATGATGTAAAATATTCTCAGAAGAACTTCGTGCAAAAAAGTTGAGAAATATTGAACATGGTTGTAAAGATAGCAATACCATATATTACATTAATCAGATGATTATTTTGATTGGGAGATATTCTCTGAAAAATGAGATGTGTGGTGATTTCATTATCTATGAGCAGTATAACCTTGAGTCAAAAGTGATACCTAAAGGTGATGGGAAATTCAGGGTAGGTACACCGATTTTATCTGAATTCTAACGATAGTAGATGATGTGTTTAAACTAAAGCTAGGGATACACAGGAAAAAATTCGGACAATGAAAGCATTGCATCACATACAGCAAGTCTTCCTCTTGTGCCATAATACAGCAGGACTAAGAAACGGAATGGGATGAAATGAGTACAGCCTTACGCTGGCTGCGCTGAAATGATCACCACTATCCGAAGGTGAAGGGGTAATTAAGGCACGACAGAGTAATCCCCCAATCTTCATACAGATTTCAGCACCAAATTGTGGGGCAAATGTATCTGAAACTAGGTAATATCATGGTCCCATCTCCTTGATAAGAGAGAGAGACATTTGAAAAACCATTTACTTCCTGTGATCTCTAGGCAGTCATGCATCATGGAGTTAGACCTAGATCTACGAGGAAGGACATATTATCAAGTTTGAACGGATAGAATAGGAAATATGAATGAGAAATTATGCAGAATAACTTGACGATGCAATTTCAGGGACACAAAAATCCCTGATAAAGGAAAGTTTGACAAGCACCTACGGAGTGGCCATGCAAGAGATTGATAAGCCAGGACCATTGAATATTGAAATCTGATAGCCTAAATTTTGGCGCTTGACAAGATTAAAGGAAATTCTGGGGAAATTCAATAAAAGAAGAAAGTTGGAAAACGAAAAGGATGAATGATATGGACAAGGAAGGAGCATGATGCAACGCTTAGGGGGAAGCGTGAAACAAACACCGGGAAGAGTGGTTAGGCGGCTCATTACACGGGAAATCAATATATAAAGTGTGAAATAATGCGTAATGACAACTATTGTATTGAAATTTGGAAGAAAAGTAAAGAAAAATGAAACTATTCAACTTACATTTTTCAGTAAAGGAGGAACACAACCACTTGGCTTGGGCAGAGGAGTCAAATGAAGGACAATCGAATGCTGTTGGGTGGATGGGTGGCTAGGTCGTTCACAGTCAGTTCACACAGACCGCACAGTTGTTCACCGCGCAGGTTCCGAGGATCGGTTCCGGAAAAGAGCGAATCGCAGAAACGAACGACTCAACTCGAACGATTTAGGAATCGATCCGCCTTTTCGACTCCGACATTGTTACATTCGTTCTTGAAAGCTTAAGTACCAGATCCATTTCCTAATAAAATTAAGAAATGAGAAAATATCAAAATATAATCAATAAGAAAATAATGTAAGGAAATGGAGAAAATAAATTATATTACAAAAATTGTTTTTTTACAGAAAATGAAGTAATGTAAAAATTTTTTTCGACGCTGAGCATGAAAAAAGTGCGAGTTCTGTGTTTTAGTTTTGCCTTCAAACTATTTAACGGCAACTTATACTACATGAGTGTTGCGCATCGTATACCCTCCATTTTGAAGGCGTGTCCATACGGTACGTTGGCACGTGTGAGTCCTCTGTTTTAGATGTGCCTTCAAATCACTGGACGGCAACATTAAGTACATACATACCACGCACCATTATATTTCGAAGATATTCTTTAAAAAAAGTATCTAACAACGTATTCAAAATCAGTGCCTGTCGAAGTAAATGGAGTGAGCGTAAATAAGCCTCACGCATGATTTATCACGCTGAGTTAGGTACATAGGTACAAAATATCAGCGACCACTGAAAAGTAGATCAACCAACAGAACTAGTATCCAGGCCCGCCACAAGGGGAGGGATACTGGGTCCCTGGTACCGGGGCCCGGGCCCCGGAGGGGGCCCGTGTTACCCGTGAAAAACCACTACGAATTCACAAGCAACCCATACGGCGCAATGATACAACTATTTGAACTCTCTGGAATGCGTGAGGTATCACGCCGCATTTGAAGGCGTTTTCAAATCAGCTTACTTCCGATACCCGGATTATCATTTTGCTTAGTTCATATTCTTTTGTTATATTCCGTACCACTCGTTTATTTTTAATCCTCGTAGAAAAACCACCCATTTGTAAATACAATTCTAGCTGAAGCGCATTCATGACTGCAATAATGTTAACGGAAATCGAAAAGGCCAGCGTGCATGAAGGCTATTTCAATTGCAATCTTCGTCGCATTTCGAAGGCGCAATGATACAACTATTTGAACTCTCCGGAATGCGTGAGGTATCACGCCGCATTTGAAGGCGTTTTCAATACAGCCAAGTTCCGATACCCGGATCATCGTTTTACGGTTTACTTCTTGGAAAATTTCTATCGTTTTTCAAGATTTTCAGTACAGAGGGATATTTTTAGTAACTACGTTTCATTTTCTTCCGTCGTCAGATGCGAAGTGTCTCCAGTCTGGGCATCCTCGACTTCAATGGCTCATGGCTCAACTCCATTGCCATAGACAAACGAAGGGGGAGTCCAAGGGGGCCTGGTCCTCATTGAACTGAAAATAGTATAATACCGCCCCCCCCCCCCAAAAAAAAAGAAAAATAAAAATTTTCCAGTTGTTTTGAATGCAACAATTCGCAAGTATTTTGTGCGGAAAGTAGAAAATAAAAAACATAATTATTCCGCAGAAATTGATGGAAAAATTCGTTATGGAAGCTTCAAAATGCGTCCCATTAGTCGCATAAATTCTAAAATTTCTCGGGGGATGCCCCTCGGACCCCCCCCCCTCCGTGCTTGGGGCCCGGACCTTAAAACTGGTACCAGGGCCCGAGATGGGATGTGGCGGACCTGCTAGTATCATATAATTTTGAACAGGCCTGCTCGTGTATTGATGCCTGGATTCAGTCGTGCAATTTATACATGTCTCGACCGCAGCGTGTTTAACAATATGGTCATGTTAATTTTTTTTTCAAATAAAAAAGCAACCAAAATATCTCTTCGAAATTTATCGTCGTAAATGAGTATGCAAAAGATTTAGAAACATTTCAAAACAACTCTTCTTCGGTTACTTTTCTTTGCTTTTAATAAAAAAAATTCTTCGGCAAATACACTAAAAAAAATTATTGGAGCGGAAATTTACAGTGTTGCAATCGGGGACGCACATTTTTCAAAAAATTCTCGATGCCATGGAGGCCCTTTTGACTTCAACCCTTTCAGAATGAAGAAAAAATTGCAACTCTCCCATTAAACGCTGTATGACCTTGTACCTTGACTGAGCATGTCGAAATTCCCCCCTTCAAGCCTGACTAAATACCCAGACAGAAATGGAAAGTGGTCTCCCAGGCGAGGATTGAGGCACAGCAAGATGTGACGCGAGGCGAAGAGCATTATAATCGAAATGAACTGGTCGAGATGGCTGATCGATTCTTGAAGAACAAGTCCAGAAAACGACCGATTCGTCGAGTCGAGGGAACTTGGGCATGTCAAACAAGGCGGGTTGGTACGAGGAAGCCGTCACGTCTCACAGTCAGCCATCTTATGACGCGCGCTTATGAAAACCGGCGTGAAACAGTCCCGTTATGAGACGAAAAGAGAAGGGGGGAGGGGGGGGACTTGTATCAAGCTTCCAAAAGCGCCTCTACAGCCTTTATTTAAACGGAGCAGCATGCAGACAGAATGTAATCGTAGAGGTCGGAGCAGGAGGGCAATTGCATTGCACCGTTGGCATGGGCGCGGAACTGCGAGAGGGGGACGAGGGCCTAGGGCCTGCCCCCTCCCCCCTTCAGTGCCCTACTCGTTTGAAATAATTGTGAGCGATTTTGCGAATAGGTAACTGCCTGACGTCTCTGTTACCGACACATCTCCTTTAAACAAGAGCAGCTCAAAATTGCTGAGGAGACATCTCGATTCTCAAAATTTTTCTAGGGAGCCCCCCCCTTCCCCCCTCCAGTTCCGGACCACTTTCGGGGTTGTAAGGAGTGTCCTCTTTTCCTTCTTGAGGCCGTTGCCTTACACCGGATCTTAATAGAGAGGGGAGGGGAGGCAGTTTTCCGTAAACCTTTCCCTTTAAAAAAAAGTGTAAAATTGTATAACTGTAATACGGATATAACTGGACCGCGTTAAGCAGAAAGGAACCAAGTCACGTCAGCTATTGCCAAATTCAATCAGGCAATTTAATTTTTTACATGAAAACGGTTGTGCGGATTTTTGGGCAATTTCCATTGACTTTTCTGCATAGTGCGAAGCAAATGCCTTAAAATTTTCAAAATAATTCGCTAAAACGTTCTCTTCTAAAATATTAAATTGCCTGAATAAATTTGGCAATAGCCGATGTGGCTTGGTTCTTTTCTGCCAAACGCGGTACAACTGAGTCAAAATTAGAACAACAGTTCCTTCTCTCCTATTCCAGATAGTTGGCGCGCAAATCAATCTGCATAAATTCAACGTCATTTTGTGCTGTGAGATTAAATGTCATAAAACATGATAATCAAATATACATTTCTGAGAGCACTTTATTCAAGGTGCCCGCCTTCAAAAGTTTGTAAAATGAATTTTTCCGGTGAAATCTAACGAAAGGGATTTCCGCAGGTAAAATAAATTCAGAATCCAAGAAGAATCCAGAGCAGAAATAAGATGCTTAATGTCAAAACGGACTTCCAACGAAACCATGTGTATAGGGAAAAAATTATTTTTTGCAAAGTTCGACTCTGTGCCGCTATTTTGGCGTTCCTGGAAACGGCTTTGGTGAGGACGCAAACCTTCCTCTTAATACGTTCCGTTTGCTTAAAAAATTGGCACTGGATCAAAGTTATTTAAAGAATTTCGCGATATAGATCTTTCCAGGGGGAAAATATTGGCATTTTGTAAACAATTTCACCTTCCCACAGGATCCGCGAAATAAACCAACACGAATACATAATTATATGGTGAAAAAGTATGTTCCGTTCAATTTAAAAGCTGTGAAAATAATAATAAAAGAAAAATCAAATAGGTACCAATTATAATGCAACTAATTACACGCGAGCCTCAGCTGTAATAAGGTTACTTAATATTCAAGCCGGGGTTTTCATTTCATTGCAATTTGATTTCTCATAAAGTCGAGAATTATTGTTCAAAGGTAATAAACGGCATGGCCGAATTTACCTACTTGCCGCCCATGGGCCGCCTGTATTTTGCCGCCCTCTTCTAATTCATTTTGAAACATCAAGAAAAACCATCAAGTGAACGTGCCGGAGGGAGAAGGGTGTATAAGACGCGTTCACTCGTGTTGGGCACATTTTTTGCGTAAGTCCTGTCAACACTACCAGCAAAAGTTCACGGAAATTAGCGCCAAAGTTCTGTTCCGTAAACCTATCTCTGTGGGGACAAGGCCGTTCATTTGTAAGAAATGAACTAAAAAATTAAGAAAGAACAAACATAAGTGTGGTTTAATAATTATAACTTCCGCCGCCGTGCCGCGCTGACCACACTGTGTTTGGCGCAATGCGTGAAGTATTCATGTAGTCTCGTAGGCACTGCGCGTTTCACGCCGCGCCGACCGCTGTTGACCATGCTGTGCTTGACGCAATGCGTGAAGTATTCATGCAGTCTCGTAGGCGCTAATATGTATTACATGCCGACCGCCGCGCCGCGTCGAGGGCTTCTCCTTTTTCATAACAAGTCCTCGTCATCATCTCTGTTTGCGCCGCGCCGCTCCGGGCCAAATTACGTGTTTGGTTTCTCTCTTAACTCAACTAATTAAAGGTGCGCAGTCTTTTGTATCACCGAAATACGACAATATTAGAAATTAATGAACTCCCAGGAAATGAGAGATTTGGTCACCTTTTCTTGTGTGTAATTTTTTTCTGAATCCGATTTTTTTGTACCTGCATTTAAAAAAATTTGCAAAATTTGCCGCCATGGGCCGCGGCCCATGTGGCCACCCCCTTAATCCGTCCCTGATAAACGGAATGCAATTATTTCACACTTCTCATTTATTGTGTAATCGTCTATTGGATGGGAGGGGGCCAAGGGGAGTGGGATCAAACGTTAGCTTCCTTGCTATGCTCAATGCTTGCAATACAAATTTGCATGTTTTTTTTTTTTTTTTTTTTTTTTTTTTTTTTTTTTTTTGTTAAGTTTTTTGTTTAAGTTTGTTTTTTTGTTTAAGTTTTTTGTTAAGTTTTGGATAAAATGAGTTTTTTTCTCACATCTTAGTTTTCACGCTCTGATCCTGAGGGGGGAGGGGGGCGTACTTATATTTACATTGCTCGCCTACACTCGTAATTACAGAGGGGAGGGGAGAGTGAAAAAGGATATCGAAGGTGAAACTGCAAAACCGCGTATCTCGTTTGCGACGTTTCAAAATCTCCGCTCTCATTTTTTTATTATTATCAAAGAGGAACAAACCACCTCTGGTGCTTGGAATTTTCATAGTATTCTTCACACAGAGAGGAAAATTCAGGGAAATTTTCAAGAAATGACTAAAACCAAAAAGCGCGATTTTGCAGTTTCACCATCCATATCGAAAGAAAGGAATACTAAAGCCCGGATTTTAAAATGCTTCTCAAAATTGCTTAGTTCTAAATCTTCTTAAAAGTCCTTCTTACGTAAACTCGACTCTCTAAGCCTCCTTGTTCAAGAGTTTTAGGGTGTGCATAACTGCATTTACGTTCCGGCCCAAATGTTATGTGGACTGCATTTTGCAATTTGGAGCTATAAATTCTGGTTCATCTGAGAAAACACTTACGTGAATAGAGAAACTAATGGCACATATGTTGTTTTTAAACTGGGCCGGAATTTATAGTTCCTAATTGCAAAATGAAGTCCATTTCATGGACAGTATTTTCGACTAACATGAATTAGACGAATTGAACCGGAACTAACCTAACTACATCAAATGTTGCCTAATTTCTTCTCATGTTTTATTTTTTCAACAGTAAACTGATCAAAACATTAACTTGTACTTTCAAGAGTAAATTATTTAGGTCCTCTGTAACAAAAAAATAATAAAACTCGAGAGGAAAATAGGCAGTGTGAAGGCTGATATCGGTTAGATCCGCCCTACGACTTGTATAAAAATTCCGTTCTTCGAAAATAACATTATTTAGTAAAACATGACTTTGTTAAAATAATGGTAAAAGACTTGAAACGCTCCTGAAAAACCGGCTAAAAAAGCAATATTATCCATTGTCAAACGTCGTTTCAGCTAAAGTTTATTTAGGTGCATAACATTGTGCTAGGTCCACAACGACCGCAGGACAACAGCTGATGCTTAATGGAAGTTCACTGGAATGGTTGTTTTCTCTTTAGTACTCGTATTCCAAATTCCCCTTCCTTTGTTATGATCATTAGTGAATAAAAAATGGGAAAAGAAGGATGTGTACATTTTTGAGCGTGTTATTCGCTGTAAGAAAATTACTGATTCTAGGCTAATTTCCTCCAAACTAAGAAGAAGACACACTCGATACCAGAATGCCACGATGAAGACTAAAAAGAGCAGCGTCAGACTGAGGTAAATGAAGCACGATTTCCTTTGCGTTCATAATTTTATGTAATTTTATTTGCTCCTTCAGGTTAGGTAGGGTAGACACTTTTGTCTATAATTTTTGAACTGACACCGTGTATCGCAGAATTCTTTAAAATTTCACTCAGCGAATGATGCATGGATCGAAAAAAAAATGTTGAAGATAAGAGCCTGGACGGAAGTTCATGACATTTTGATAGGGAAGCGCCTGAACTACGTATTTCAAACTGCGACGTTGCGCATCTTCCTTCGTATTTTTCTATTTTAAAGAAGGCTAATAATCATTCTCGCGCAAAATCTCGTTTGATTTTTCCTCGTCCTTTCATGAATATTTTCTGAAAATATAAGTTGTCGAGTAGTAGGTACTTCCTTGAAAAAATACAATTTGAGCGGAAATTTTCAAACATTGCAATTGCAATCGAGGTAGTAATTATAGCTTTACCATCAATCAGGATTATTAGTAGGTCAAGCAATGAAAGAAAATGACGTGACTTTATTCGTCTTTAAGAAAACGCATATTTGACACGTAAGTTTTCACGCACTCGGTTTCTATTGGTTTCCATCGGTTTAATGGTTAAAACACTCGATATCGCAAAAATAATGTCAATCGGTGTCAGTAAAGTACTTTTCTTAGAATGCAAAATGTGAAACTAAATGGGGAATGCCTTTTTAGGGGGGTACATTCTGAGCCGTTGCCGACAACGCACAATCAACGACCAACGTGCGATGCTTAACTTGGAGGAATCGAATTTGGCAAGGTATTCAAAGCGCCTTCAATCAATCGAATAGGCAACGCGCGCTCCGGAAGGTTAAAATAGTTGCTTGCAGCGCCTTAACCGCGAGCCTTCCCCAGTTTACCGGATGAAGTCTCTAAGGATTCGCCTCTGACATGACGCGACAGTGCGTCGCGGCGACACTATAGAAAATGCGAGTTTTTGCACGAACTCCACGTTTTATTTTCTAGCTAAATGTACATTGGTTCATTTCCACACTTGCGTAAAATTGAGTGCTGAAAATGTCCAAATTTTGTTCATAACGTGATCTTTAAAATATCTCAGCTAAAAAGTGTGATGTAATATCCAAGTTTTTAGGGTACATGCACTCTCTAGGCATGTTATGCAATTTGCACAAACATTACATGGAGTCCTACTTTAGAACAAGGTGCGGATTTCAGTATTTGAAACTTAGAAATTAAGTTTAGATGTTATACTCATGGGCAGATAACAGGATAGTAGAATAGAGCTGGGGCCACACTATTCAGTTCGAGCCACATTTTCGTGTTTTTTCTTCTTCTCATAAGTAGATTATTAACTACTGCTAGAGTGAGAAAAAATACAAAAGCATAAATCCATAGCATCGCGACCTCATTCAGGATGATGACTCATGTCTGAGGCAGTAATTTTGAGAATTGCATCAGACGGGGTTTCCCCATCTTCGCTTTTATCGATCACTGGGAGTTGGGAGCGATGCTATGAGTCACCAGTTTTTTGCACAGACTGCTTTCCAGGAGTTTCAACCGTATGTCTAGAGCTTGAACGCATCAGTTCATTCAAAATATTTTAATTTTTATTGATATATGAAATCCACTCGATGTGTGTTCCGAATGTATGATGTATGGGCATTTCCGTAAAAAATGTAGGTAAACGTATGCAAGTATCAAGCTGGGAAGTTATACCTGATGATGCCTTGCACTTTCATAAAAGTGTATCAACCCTTAGGTTTTAGAGTTTTCAATGGAAATTATCATTAGGTACAGCATTATCTAAGCATTATCATCATCATCATCATCATCATCATCATCATCATCATCATCATCATCATTATAAAATATGAGCAGAAATTTTACAACACTGACTGTCAAGCTGTCTATTTTTCAGTGCGTAATCGTAGATTCAGGGAGAGGGCGGGCCACGGGACCATCGTTTTCTTTACTAGTTTCTCTTGCTTGTTGGTCCATCGATGACTTCACTTAGTTTTCCAGAAAATTAAAAGAAAAATCGAAGATTGAAGTGACCGTTGCACTGGGCAGCCACGCAAACCTATAACCAGAGAAAATGAGGTGAATTTGGAAGTGAAACAGATTTATATGCCAATGGAAAGTTGAAAAAAGGTTGAGCAATTGAGCATATCAGGAAAACCTACTTTCAAAATAAAACGAGGTCAATTGAAAGTGTTTGTGTGTCTCTTGTATAAAATAAACATTTTTAATATTTATAAATATAACTCTGGCATACGAAAGTGCCTAGTATATAGGTATTACTGTTTACGGTCAATGCTTTCGTTGGGTTTTTCTCCAACAGTGTTATATTTTCAAGGATACATTTTACATTTTATCGGACGAGGTCAGTTCATAATGTTAAGCTATAGAGCACTATTAGAGACACGTGTACATTTTTTTGTAGGTCATCCATTTAATTTTGACAAAAGAGCCACAGCAATTTTGTTTAGAGATACCTACATTGCGTCAAAGACATCCCGTCTGAACTTTAGGTCTTTGTCTTTTTGTCATGTGTCTTTTTTAAAGATCATATTTGAACGTTCCCACTCACTTGATCATAAAACGAACAAAATTCAAAGTGTCCCCTTGACAGATTGCAAACTGATGAGTATGATACTTTGATTTTTATTTTGAAGAAGCGTAATTTTTTAGCCAACCAGGTAAGGTTGCTCTTATCCCAGCGATTCTATCTTTTTACATTCGAGTTAACTTGCATACGAAATAAACAATACTTGTCCATATTTACTAAAATCATCACATCAACAGATTTGTATAGACTACGTCCTCTTCAATTTTGGAAACAGTGATTAAATCGCGTCAATTCTAACATTTTAACCTTGTTATTTAAATCATGCACTGCGGGCCGATTATTGAAACTTACAGACAAAGCGATAGACAAAGAAGACATAGAGAGTATGGAGCGATCCTATTGGTTGACATGGTTGGTTCTTATAGACTAAGGAAGAAAATGATGGACTAACTGTCGGGTATTTAATGGGTTGCCGTTAGTTAGTCTATTACCTACTTCCTATGTCCATTACCACCACCTGCTTCCACCAATAGGATCCCTCCAAATCCCTTTTGTCGTGTTTGTCTATAGCTTTGTCTATAAGTTTTAATAATCGGCCCGCTGAGCTGATCATTATGTCCTTCAATGTCTTTTTCTAGCCCTTCGAGGACCAGCGAGAGCATCACCAATCTCAGCCGGGTTTCTCCATGAATTTTCCGCCACGGTTCAGAAGGAAAATTGGAAAAAATCGTATGCTTTGGCACGACATGACCAACACAACATCGCAGAGCCCTGATTCAATGGTGCTTGACGCGAAAAAGTTGAAACAAGTGCACAAGCCTCGCAACCGAAATGGTATTTTAAATTAAATATTGTTTTGTGTTCCTTTTTCTTTCTCTTCATTTTTTTCGAATATGCAGAAAAAGTGAAGTGTTATGGATCAAAAAGTCGCGGTAAAGCAACATTGGAAAGGCAAAAGCTGCAAAATTCTAGGGTTATGTCCAAAAACTTCTATAAACTAAAAGTAACGCGTAACGTATGCCTGTAGTAACGTAAGTAACGTAACTAAGTAACGTAATACCTGATGCGCGCGAAGCGCTTCGGGAGGCTGCGGAACACGAAGCGGTTAGGGGGCGTGGCTCCCCTAGTGAAGGCATAAAATCGCAATTTGGACTGAACGTCTCTTCCTCCCCCTCACATTCTGTGACTTCGTCTCTTTTAATTTTATAATTTTTCTCGCTACTTAATTTTTTTTTTTTTTTTCGAAACCGGGGAGTAACCCGATTTTCGACAAACACTGCTCGCAAGTGTCAGTATAACAGGCGTTATTTCAATGCATAGATGCCTTGCTTTGATAATTTGTCCAATTTTACAATTTATGGATTCTCTAAAATCTGCAAGCATTCACCTAAAATGGTTCCCTTTTCATTTTAGGAAAATCCGTTTTCTTCTCGTTTGATATCTAGAACCATAACTAGAAAGAACAAACTACTAGTGCTGTTATCTTAGTTTCGTCAAAAAGTAAACTTGTGCCGATTTTGAGCCTGTATGTCTCAAATCATCATTATAACCGCCAAGAACTCTAGCGTGTCATCTTGTTTCCTCAACAGGCAACTTGATTCCCAGATTCGGCGCTCGGGTGCAGCAAAGAGATTTCGAAATCAACGAGATTCGATTCCCGAGCCCAGATCTCGAGCGCCACCCTCGCGCAGAGCTGCAAACGACGCACCAATTTGAGATCGAAAGCGACTTCGACGTCAATTCGTCGAGTCCAGACTATGAGCCGACCCCGAAGAGAGGATACTATCGCTTCGATAAAAGGGATACCGAAACTGCTTTCGGTAAGCACTGATGTCCCGAATCAAATTCATCAAAAAAGAGCACAGTATATCAGTGGCGGGAGGGGGCAGGGTAGCATTACCTACAGTGCGTTTTTCTAAATTTTCTGAATTTTTGATGCCATATTCGTGGTTTTCAGCTTAAATTAAAGAGAATCTATGTATCATACATACTAGAAAGTTTTTAAAATTTCCCTGGAAGTGGGAACAGTCAACAGTCGAGTAGGAACAAGAGTTCCTATGGAATTTATCTCAAAACTAATTACAAGATTGGGTCCTTCACATTTTTTGGGGAGGGCCGAGCAGCATTGTGGAAGGGGGGGGGGAGGTCTCCCCTAATTTTGCCTGTGGACATCCATACTCCAGTCCTTTCAAATTTTCAGGGATTAAGGCCGAGTAGTTTCGTAAAACATTGACGTCACCATCGGGATTCGAACCAGGGATATCATACTTCTGTTCTTTTAAATCCATCTTCCACCTCTTTATTGTAAGATTTTCGTGCCTTCTTTTTCTAGGCCCACATCCAGCAAACATCGGGAGGTTCGAGTCCAGCTTCCAGGAGAGCGCGAACTTCAAAACACCCGAATCTTTCGAGAATTCCGAGCGGAAGTTGCAAAGCCGGAACTCGACGATCGGCGATGGGAGGAGATCCTTGTGCGGCCACAACGCGGTCGACTGCAGCTACTGTCAGCTTTTCTTCAGAGCGGAGAAACGGGCCGCTACCAACAGCCGTGAGCAGCGACTCCAACAGCTCCTCCGCAGGATCCTCTCCTGCGACCCTCGGGAAAGCGCCAAGCCTAAAGTTCAGCTTCCACCGGCGAAGGGAACCGCGAAAGAGGAAGAAGACTTCCTCACTCCGATGCTTCTCAGCACGGCCTACTTCGACCAGAAGCCCAAACATAGCTCGGATCAGGCTCATTTGAGACAGGTACACGTCTTGTTTACTTCAAATCCTCGCTCCTCTGACGATTTCTACGTGAACCCTGTGTTGCGTATCAGAGCCGGATTTACCTACATGCCGCCCATGGGCCGCCTGTATTTTTCCGCCCCCTTCTCATTTGTTTTGAAACATCAATAGATCGTATTCGACAGTGGTTCGATGTATCGTTTGATTCAAAAGAATAGAACATAACCTCGAATAAAAATTTTAGGATTTGATATGGAAAAGCTGAAAATGAGAAAATTCCTAACAATTTCATTTTTCAGTGCCATTTGGTACTCGAGAGAATAAAAATTCGATCACATAAGAGATAAGACCCATTACCTCAGATTTCTGAATTGACCTCTGAGGCTGTGGTTACATATTGAATCAATATTATCGATATCAATATAATGTTACCTGTGTGATCTGTCGAATACGATCTATAAAAACCATCAAGTGAACGAGACGCTGGGGGAGGGGTGTATGAGACGCATTTACTCGCGTTGGGCACATTTTTTGTAAAAGCCCTGTCAACACTAACAAGAGTTCAGTTCCGTAAACCCATCCCTGTTTGGACAAGTCCTTCCATTTATAAAAGTTAAGAAAGAACAAACATAAATGTGCTTAAAAATTTTAACTTCCACCGCCGCGCCGACCGCACTGTGTTGCCGCAATGCGTGAGGTATTCATGCAGTCTTGTAGGCGCTATGCATTTTACGCCGACCGCTGCTGACCACACTGTTTGGCGCAATGCGTGAAGTATTCATATAGTCTTGTGGGCGCTATGCGTTTCAAGCCGACTGCTGCTGACCGCAGTGTGTTTGACGTAATGCGTGAAGTATTCATGTAGTCTTGTAGGCGCTATGTGTTTCATGCCGACCACCGCTCCGTTCCAGGTCAAATTGCGTGTTTGGTTTCTCTCTTAACTAGACTAACTAAAGGTGTTGTCTCTTGTATCACCGAAAGACGACAAAATTAGAAATTACTACACTTTCACTCTCAGGAAATGAGAGATTTGGTCGTCTTTTCTTGTTTGTAATTTATTTTCTGAATCCGATTTTTTTCTCTCTTTTTTTGATACCTACATTCAAAAAAATTGCAAAATTTGCCGCCCACTAAATTTTGCCGCCATGGGCCGCGGCCCATGTGGCCACCCCCTTAATCCGGCCGTGCGCCGTGTTGCGTATGGTTCTATACTTTCTGTGGCTCATATGAAACTAGGTATACGTCAAGGGAGCGATGAAATGGTACATTCTCAGATATCACGAGCGGACTGCACATAATGTTTGGAGTCCGAACATTTTTTTGATAATCGCAATCGTCTACAGGAAAAGGGACCATAGTCTACAAAAATCAAATTAGATTCATTACTACCGCTGGTATTGAGTGTCTAATAAACATTTTGTGTTCTACAAAACGTCAGGAAATGTAATACCAAAGCGGTGCTTTGTCGTTTTGAAGTTTATAGTTCCAAACCTGCAGTTTCAAGAGAGTCACTTAAAATAGTCAAGGCTGGATTGAACCGAGTTTATCAGGAAGGAACCAACCCGCATTAAGTTGAAACTGAGAGATAGAGATTTGAAGTTTTATTCCTGCATGAAGCTCAATGTAAAATATAAACTTAAACCCCTCTTTTCACAAAAAGTTTTTAGTTTTTAGACTTTCAGTTTTCGGCAGGAGAAAATATACGGCTAGTAAAATTCAATTAAATTCTTAACTCAATTTTTTCAAAAATATGGGTTGGCTCCTTTCTGATAAACTCAGTCCGATTAAAGGTGGTGCCTGAGAAGTGGCTGCACAATGCGTCATTACAACAAGGGCACTAAAATAAGAAAAAGAAAAAAATATGAGGAAAACTAATTTTAACTTCGCTAATCCAAGAGGCCACGCAAAAACCTTTTGATCGAAGCCTAGCGTCCACTTCAAAACGCCTTCAATTTCGCCGCGTAGGCAACAAACATACCAGGAAGCTTGAAACGAACACACTTTTCAATCACTGAATAAACTTCGATTGAACGGATAAACGATGTTATTAACTTTTTGAGGGAAATCTTTCGATGGGTGAGTCACTAGTAGTTCATAATTGAGAGGGTTGGAAGACAAAGCGCGCATAAGTGCAGTTTTTGCTATTTCGAGAAATGCATGTTTGAAGTTTCAAAATTACATGGATCCTCATGGCGGAAAGAAAGTTCAAACTGACTTCTGGATGCTTAAAAATTGCAATTTGGGAGCGAATTTTTCACAGCATATGCATTAATATTAGTTTCACTTGAAATCATGAATATCTTAATTTTTTTCAAAAACTGCACTTGTGCACCTTGTCCTTCAAACCCCTCAATTTCAAAATGTAATCGAATTAACATTTTTTGAATGGGAGTGTGTGTGTTGTAACAGATGCACGAGTCCTGCGATCGCTTCAACACTAGCAAATCCGTGATTGATTCTCCAGAGCCACGCGCACGATCGTACTTCAGAGCGAGCCTGGAGCAGGTTCGAACCGAGGAGCTTCTGACGGAGCAATTCCACGTGCTCCAAACGGAGCAGTTGCACCTGCAGCAGTCGGAGCAGCTCCGAGCTTCGTCGCAGTTCCTGCTGAGCATGCTCGCCGAGAACCTGGCGCTGAACCTCTCGGACGTCGACTTCACCAACATGACGCTCAAGTTGAGCCGACGTCGGATGTCGTACACGAAGACCTTTGTCAAGGCTGTCAACGCTGCTGAGGATTCGCTTCTGAGGTCCTCTACACTCGAGACGGATGCGGTAGCTCGTGAACTCCGCGCTGAACCCAAAAGACTCAGACCCATCTTGAATTTTGTCTGAAGTGACGTCATCAATGACGTTTGATACGTTTATTTATCTAGAGGATTAAGTACTGACTAGGAATCTATGAAGAGTACCTTCATAGGGGTATATGATCATACTAGAGGATTCATACCTAATTTCGTCGCTCCTCTGGCGTAAGGACGTATCTTGATGTCTGTATGAGCTTCAGAAAGCATGGCTTTATATGTAAAACAGGGCTCACGTCGAAATTAAGATACGACCTTACGTCAAAGGGGCGACGATTTGCTCAGCCATCGTAGGCTTCATGGAGCTGTAAGATAAAACTTAAGGACGTTACATGTCGATGGACGAAAAGACTTAAAACAGACCTGCAGAACTTAGGTCTGATAAAACCATTAAACTTGGACGACGTCATACTTTATAACTCCTTCAATATTAAAATTGGACGTAGTAACTTTGCATTCGGAAGAATCACAATTCTTTTTTATTCGTAAGCTACGACTATCTGAACACGATTTTAACACACTTACCTAGTCCACATCTAGGAGGCGGTTAAATTAGACCTATCGCAATAGATTTTTCATCCTCAAAAAAGCGTAAGTCTATAGTCTATTACCTCCTTCTTTTTTCTCAATCTAAAGTTGGTACTATCCTTGAAACGTTTGATTTCGATCAACAATAGGCACGCTACTGCACCGAAAAAAAATTGAAGTTGATTTAACATTCTGGATGTAAAAAAAGTGTGCGAGAACTTACAAAATGCTAAAATACCTGCCACAGCAGTTACTTCAGCAATGCCAAGATGTAAAATTAAGTGCTGTGGCGGGTAATTCAGCATTTATAAGTTTTCACACACTTTTTTTACATTCAGAATGTTAATTTAACTTCCCTTTTTTTTTGGTGTGTTTGTTCGCTCCAAAAAGAAAAATAAAAAAAACGGGCACTGCTATCTCGGCAGGTGATAGTTTTTCTAAAAGGATTTGATCTTGATACATCGAACACTGAGTCGAAGATACAAAAAGGTCCCTTTTTTTGCGTCATTGTCCCTTTCGCTTTTGCAATGGAGTCATCGTTCCTAAACGATTCTTTTGTGGCCAGTCCTTTTGTTTTACCGCCTTAGGCACGATCTCTTTGTGCTAACCGTCGCCCTTTTCTTTGGCGACGCGACTTTCACACGAACCAATTGACCATTCAAACTGAACTATCACCGAGCTGTTGTGAAAATGCCTTGTCACTTTTCATTGCTCTAAATACAGTGATAAGGTACTTTCACTTAAACCGGGAACTGAGCATGGAGTCCTGTGACCCAAAGGGGTTTGAGGCTAATAATCGATTCCGCAAAGGTCTTGCGGAGTGTTACTTTTTGACAGTTTTTAAGCATTTTCCTGGGGATCCTCTTGGCATAAAAAATGTCCTTTAAAGCATATCGTTCTGCTGTTTTTCCATCGCCAAAAATCTTCAGGTATGAATATACTTTTAGTTTTTAAATTTATTTAAGGCTTTGGTACTTTACGTTTTAGAATTATCTATTTTTAAGGGAATATAACTTCAAATGTCATCCGGTTCATAAAACTCGACGAACGACGGTAGAAATAGTTACCCAATCGTACTTTAAAAAATTTTATATTAAAGTTTTTCAGATTGTGGTTAACTTAAATTGCAAATAATTGTTCATTTTCCGCGTTCCCTTGCTCAAACATTGATTATTATCCAGTTTTACCTCCACGAACCTCTAATATCCGGCAAAATTACATAAAAAATAATGATACCTAATTATTTTTTGGGCGATGTGTCACCTACAGAGCTAGTCACTCTTGACTGATCGATGCTTCCTTCCGTGGTTTACCCATGATAAAAGAAAGCGGACAAATTATTACCTTGGGTAATTCGGTGGGTGTGAACGCAGTTCTATTAAGAGTTGTCCATTAATCGGCTAGTCTTCATGACTGCGTATGTTTATTTTAGTGTGTTCCTTGAAAATAAATTTATACCTGTTCTAAGTTAACACATTAATCCTCAAAGTTATGGAAGTGCGATAGTTATATAAGCTGCTGAAGGAGCCTCTTCTTCAGTTTAAATTACAATGAGATCTAGAATTTCAAAATGATGAAGTACACAATTTCAGGACCTCTATAAATTGATGATTTTTTATTAGATCGTTATTGCTAAGCAAAGAAATAATTTAGGCACCTTGACACTTTGTTTTTCATAATAAATGATGATAATTATTAATAAATTAAAAACGCCGAGAGGAAATCATTACATAATTCAAAAGTTTTCCTACGGATACGTAAAGTAGGTTTGCTTAGAATTATGTAGGAAAAGCAAGAGAAAGCCCCATAAGTATTTTTATCAAGATCAGAAATCCCCTCCGTGTTACAATACCTAATGTAGGTAATGATACAGATGCAATGGTGGTACCTGAATATAAAAGCAGGATTTTATATTTTTAAGACCAGATTATAAAAGTTTACAAGAATGAAAGGCACACCAAATTGTGCAATGACTCGTAGGTTAATACCTAAGGTAAGGTGAGGTAGGGTGAATCAATTATTGTTCAAATTTCAACTGTAACAGAAAATAAGAGGAAATAAGTTTATGATCCAATTTAGGATACAAATAGACACTTATACACTAGTGTACTCTGCCGTGATGAGGAAAAACGGCGTATGAACATCCGGTTGTTGCCAAATTTTCCCCTGTAAAACATTAATTATAATGAGGAAATTTACGAGTATCTTGACTTGATATTTTTAGAAAATTTAGCTTAAATTGCGCGTGAAACTCAGAAAAATTAGGAGAAAAATATTCACAAGTTTCCCTGTAAATTTGTATTTTATCAAAGGAAATTTGGCAACGCCTGACGGCTCATACGGCGTTCTTCCTCAGGGCAGCAGTTGCAGTACTTGACACGATAAACTGGTTCAACATCCTGAAATGAATTACTGAATTAAGAGATAATGTAGGTTTGATTGTAGAGTTAATTTTTTGCTAATTTCTACGTGATAAATTTTTGTTGCTATTGTAATTGCGGTTGTATTAGATATTGTAAAAAAAGAAACTCAAGAAATCTTATTGCTTACATTTAAATAATACATTTACTCACTCGATTTTTTGTCTTCCCAATTATTTTTTTATTCCGTCACAAACTCCGTTATAGTTCCACATTATTCCTCTTAAGAAGAATTTGCTTTTTCGATTACTTGGGATATCGCTTCCTCAGCTCTAATTAGAACAGGTAAGAAACGGTGAACACTCGGATATTAAATTACTTCAGGAAATGAATTATGAATTGATCTCTTCATTTTTTTAATTTTAGTTTTGCAACAGCCTCATTCTGTGGCACCTAGAGCGAGGGTCCAATAAAATTTCAAGTTCAATATCGAGTAAAATGAAACTTGGTCCTGCCAGGGTTCGAACCTGGATGGTCAAATTATTTATCTGATTGCATTACCATTGTGCTACAGGACCGTGATGTTTGGGAGCACTATTTTAAGCCCACTAAAGCTAGAGCCACAGTGCACAGTCTTGATGAGAACAATTCCATAGTCGATTGGCTAACAGCCAGGGGCCAAATTTTGTCGGCTCTTTCACACGGAGATGCAACATCCATCGATGAGTTCAAACCGCACTGCCAGCCAATCAGAAGCGCTAAAAGTATATTCATGTACGGTGGAAGGACCGACAAAATTTGGCCCTAGCCCCATGTCTGTTGCAACTTGCACCTGCACTCCAGAGGTACAGCGAAGTAAGCAGATTCGCTGTGCTGGTAATAATTGATTACTTTAGGAGGTACGTATTCCGAATTTTTCGCTTACCCTTCTTCAGGCCACTGTTTATCATTCGCGATATATACGCTCGAAACTATTCGTATATACAAGTTCTATACATGAACGACATATGAGTGAAAATAAGGAATGAAAAACGGAACTAGGCTAAAACTTTTGTGAATTTGTTGTGCCGTAACCGCCGCGGGCACGTTGTAAACCAAATATTTAACATGTCATTAAGGAGCGTTCATAATTACGTAACGCGCTCGAGGGTTTATGAGTCAATATTACAAGAGGAAAGGAGGTCAGTGCCAGCGTTACTGAACCCTCGCTATTATTGGTAAAAAAACACGCAAAATTATAAGGAAGTTCGCGCAATCTTTCAACTACAAATTTTCACTTCCACCGCCGCGCCGCGCCGACCGCACTGTTTGGCGCAATGTGTGAAGTATTCATGCAGTCTTGCAGGCGCTATATGCGTTTCCAGCCGACTGCTGCTGACCGCAGTGTGTTTGGCGCAATGCGTGAAGTATTCATGCAGCCTTGCAGGCGCTGCGCGTTTCCAGCCGACTGCTGCTGACCGCATTGTGTTTGACGCGATGCGTGAAGTATTCATGCAGTCTTGTAGGCGCTATGCGTTTCATGCTGACCGCCGCGCCGCTCCGTTCCAGGTCAAATTGCGTGTTTGGTTTCTCTCTTAACTCGACTAATTGAAGATGTTGTCTCTTGTATCACCGAGAGACGATAAATTTAAAAATTACTATACTTTTACTCTGAGGGAATTAGAGATTTTGTCGTCTTTTCTTGCTTGTAATTTATTTTCTGAATCCGATTTTTTTCTCTCTTTTTTTGATACCTACATTCGAAAAGATTGCAAAATTTGCCGCCCCCTACATTTTGCCGCCATGGGCCGCGGCCCATGTGGCCACCCCCTTAATCCGGCCCTGTTTGGGTCCTGCTTCAACGGAAACTGAGCTGACTCTGTAGGTGGTGTGTATTTCTGACCGGACCTCATTTTAACTATTCCTCAAAAACAAATATGTTGGGATACGCGTTCGAATTTTCCCCCCTGAGATATCCTGTATCCATGAAACGACTCTCCCGCATTCGTCGTTTTTACGTCAGGAAGTGGAAAGCTGACCGTGAGAATCCAAAATGGCAAGGCTTTTTGAATTCTTCGTTTCTACTACATAGACATCTACTATGAATAGTTGCACACATGCGTAGCATGTGAGTATCTTTTGTGCTTTGGTTTTGACATAGGTGTGTGTTAAGCATGATTTTTGGAGTAACTATTCGAGCCTGAGAGATATCTCCGTAGTATAAACGAAGAATTGAAAGCGCTCTGTCATTATGGATCCTAGCAATACAGCCCGCCGCTGCGCCGGGAGAGTGAGTGTCTAAAGAGCCAAAACGCCTTCAATTCCGTGCATAGGCAATTCGGACATCCGTGGAGCCCGAATAGTTGCATCCAGGCGTTGTCATAAAATTCGCTCAGAGTCCGTCCCGTGTGAAACTAATTTACCGAGGGCGCTTTCTTGTTTTTCTAACACCTTAACTTAATTTCAATGTCGCTTACTGTGCCTATGAGGTAAACTATTACTGGTTATTATATCGACAATGCCAATTCCCCGAAAAATGTATTGATTGCAAAATTTGTAGAGTTTTCTTTAACAGCTTCCTTCTACGAGTCTCTGATCGGATTTGCCCCATTTGGTAAAATACTTTTAGCGTTGAAATGCGAAATTTTCAAAGACATTCTCCTTTCGCGCTATTGGGTTGTGTATTTCTCATAGGTTTGCATTTTTTGCAATTTTGAACGTGTGTGTACATCTTATGAAACAAGCACAGTTCTTATGAAGTTCACACATTGGAAAGAAAAAGTGCGTTCCAGAGCTCATTATCTTACAT